TGAAATCGCCCTTTGAGGAACAAATACAGATTGATTTTCAGCAACCAGACTGTGGAGAACTGGTTGAAGTCTTTTGGTAAGTATCTTGGAAATGATCTTGTAGTACACCGTACACAGAGCTATTGGTCTATAGTCAGACATCTTTTTAGGGCTTGTGATCTTTGGAATGAGCCTGACATGGGTTAGATTTATGTTTCTTGGCAGGATGCCTGAGGAGAAGAAGTTCTGAATTTCTAAGATGATTTGAGGCCCGACTGTTGGCCAGTGTGATTGGAAGAAGCTTGCTGAGAAGCCGTCGGGTCCCGGTGCCTTATCTGCATGTATGGAGAAACATGCGCCTCTGATTTCCTCCGGGAGAGGTATAGCAGTCAGCTCATCATTTGTTTCTGCAGATATACATGGACTTAAGGCCTCATGGATTATAGATTCTCTTTCTCCCTCCTCTGAGTGAAATAGGGTTTGATAATATTCAGTGATAACTCCAAGAATCTTTTCTTCTTCATAGAATACTTGACCAGCTTCATTTTCTAGGATAGAGAATTTGTTTACTGCTTTCCTGCCTTTTGTTATGGCATGGAAATAACCTGTGTTTTTATCACCTAGGGTTAGCCAAAGTTGGCGGCTTCTTTGCTTCCAGAAGTCCTCTTCATCCTTGTAGGCCAATCTCAGCTCCTCATTGATGGCTGCTATTCTCAAAGTATTGGATGAGGTGCTTGACATTTCTAGCTCCAGCTTGGTTCGTGCTTCCTCTATCCTTTTTTGACTGTTCAGGTGCTTTTCTCTTGTCCAAGTGATGATTGCAGTTCTGCATCTACTGAGTTTTTTCTCTACATCTTCATCCTCATCTGGTTTCCATTGGTTTCTTATTAGCTGGGAGACTTCCTTATTATTCCTGAGTCTTCTATCATAGCGGAATAATCCTTTTCTTTTCTTTTTCTGCAGATCAAAGCATGTGAGAAGGGGTCTATGATCGGAGCCCTCGAATCTCAGGTATTCACATCTTCCTGAAGGATAAACTTCAGCCCAGGAACTATTTGACATTGCTCTATCAAGGCGACAATGTACCAGATGATCATGTCTTTGTCCTCTCCAGGAGAGGAAGTTCCCTGAGTGTCTTAGATCAAAGAGATCACACTCAGACATGAAGGTTCTGAAATCAATAAAAGATCCTTCTGGTCTGTTTGGCCCCCCTTGCTTTTCAGATGAGTCGATTATATCATTGAAATCTCCTGTTAAATACCAGGGATCTGATCTAGCTTGTCCAATTGTTGAAAGTTGTTCCCATATGCTTTTCCTTTTTGATTTGTCAGGTTCCCCATACACAAAGGTAGCAAAGAAGGATTTCCCCTCAGCCTTGATATGTGTGTCTATGAAGTTTGGGCAAGCCTCGAGAGTTTCCAGCTCTATATGATCTTTCCACAGAATTGCTAATCCACCACCTCCTGGACTGTGAGGAGATACTAGCTTGTTTGCTGAATAATCCATCCATTGAAGCTTAGAGAGAACAAAATCATCAGCATTTTTTGTCTCCATGAGGAAAATTATGTCAGGTGAGATCTCTTTGTGAATCTCCCTTAGCCGTTGGACTGTCATGGGATTCCCCAAACCACAACAGTTCCAGCTTACTACTTTTAAGGAAGAGGAGGAAGTGGATCCTGAAAATCCACTTTGTTCTTCACTATAGCTGGAATGATCACAGGTTGTGGCGGCTCTCTAGTAGTAGAAGGTCCTGCCTACTCATTTGGCATGGTGAGTCTCTGTTTTGCTGACTTTCTCTGGGGAACAGGTGGGTTAGGTTCCTCTGCGTTGGTGCTTTTTCCTCCAGTTGATCTTCTTCTTGGAGAGTTTTGGATGAGCTCTTTATTTCTTTTACTCGATTTTGCTCCTTTAAGGTTCAGAGGGCTTTTATTAACTGTTTTGTTCAGTGGTGGTCTGCCCCTCTTTTTTTTCATTGTTATAGTGCCAGTGGCAGTCAAGGTTGATGGGTGAGGAGGTAAGTCTGGAGATGAAGGTGCTATGTTCACTGCAGCCGCAAGAATTTGTGCTGCTGTTTCTGCCATCAAACCTCTGGCTTCACCTTGTAAGACCCTTTGTTTCCTTGCCATACTTTCAGTGGGGTCAGCGCAGTTTGTATACTGCACTGTTACTTCTCTTAATTCTCCCATTATTTCTTCAGTTGTGGGTACTGGTCTTGGAGTTGGAGAAGATTCTCCTGCTGTAGAGCCTCTTTCTAGTGGGGGGCGTCTTGTCCTTGAAGTTTCAGAGGAACCTGGTCCAGCAGCAGGTGAGCTGATCCTTTCTCTCCACTGGAAGTTAGGTCTCGAGTTACTGTGATAAGGTCTATCTGTGCTCCTTGCAGGTACTTTACTGGAGTAGTTTAGAGGTCTAGGAGGAGACCTCCTTTCATTTGAGTGTCTGTAACCATAGGTTCTGGAGCCAGATGAAGTATTAGTCATGGCCTCTCTACCATTATATTGTCTTCCACTGGGAGTATAATTCCCTTTGGAGATGCTTGGTCTAGAGTTTCTGGAGTAGCTTTCTTTAGGTAAGGCTCTGCTCTGATCTCGATGATAGGCTGAATCATTCCTCTTAGGGGTCTCTTTTCCTAAGCCTTGAGCAGGAGGAGGTTTTGCATCTGACTTCCCTTTTTCTAAACCAGGGCAATTAGCAATTTCGTGAGAGAGCCTTTGGCAGTGGAAGCAATGTTTTTTGAGGTTTTTATACTCCAAGGTAACCAGTGCCTCACTACCATCAGGAAATTCTACTACTGTCTGCTTTGTCAGTGGAGCAAGGCCATTGATCTCAACTTTTACTTTTGCAGCCGCCGGAGTAATCTCGTGGTCTAGAATAGTTCCCAACTCTTCTCCAATTTTATAAATCATTTGTTGCTTCCAGAAGTGCATTGGAAGTCCCTGCAACTCTACCCAGAAAGGGATTTGCGATGGGAAGGAAGCAGAAATTACTGGTTCCCACTTTTGGAGGATTACCATCCACTGGTCAAAATGGTAAGGCCTATTCTCCAACACTTTTGTCAAGTCTTCTTCAAAGTCGAATCTGAATTGAAAGCAACCATTTCCCAAATCAGAACCAATGGCTTTACCTCTCAAATTCCATCTGTTTGACAAGTATGGGATGAGGGACCAGAGCCTTTGAGCTGATGGATTTGTGAGTCTCCCCATGAGTGTGAGAGCATTTTCCTCTATCAGATCTGAGGTGTCAACGTCTGGAGCTCGGATTCTCTTGAGAGGAGGTGCAGAGAAGTCTTGAGTAGTTTCTTTTCTGGTTCTAGGAGACTGGTAAGAGTCACCTCTCTCTTGTTCATATCTTGGAGGGTATTTATGATAGGATTTGGAGGATTCCTTCTGGTAATAAGAGATTCCTTTACCCTTCGCAGAATATGGTATGCGGGAGGTCATTGTTGTACTTATCAGGACAAGCAGTCTGGTCCAAGTAGTTGAGAGTAGGGTATAAAGTTCTTCACACAAGGTGAGAGGTTTGCTGAAAATTTACGACAAATACTTTGTCCTTTTAAGACTTTAAATTTTCTTCACATACAGTGAGAGCATTCAATAGAGTTTGACCAGATTTGAGCCATAAATGCAGGAAGAGAAGGTACCTTACTGAGAGGAGTAGCTCAAAGGATTGAAAGGCTTAATTAACTGCTGAAGCTCTCCAATCTTCTGTCGTGGCTCAAAGTGGTTCAGAGGTGTGGGTTCCTCTGTTCTCAAGGAGAGGGGCGTCTCCTACGCCGGTCTCTCTTGAGAAAAGCACCGGAGATTTGCTTCTATGGGAGGGTTTCGCCGGACTTTACTATTTTGGGTAAAGAAAAGTGGTTGAGTTTTTGCTGTTTTTGGTAACAAAGGGGAAATAAGATCTTCTTTTTGAAAACCTTTACTAAGGCTCCGAATGGTAACCGCGTTTTGCGGTGCGGGAGAAGTGCGGTATTATAGTGCGGTACGGTTCAACTGCGGGACGTGCGGGAGAAATATATTTGCGGGACAAGTGCGGTTTGTATAAAATAAGCGGTACGAAATAATATTTGATTGGTGAAAAAAGCTATTTGCGGGATAAGTGCGGTTTTATATATAAATATATATATAAATTAATAATTAATTATTTTTTTTGTTAATAAATAAACAATAACAGATATTTATAAACCATTAATACACAAATTGATCAAAATTTAAATTTAATTTTTAAACATATATATATATATATATATAATTATAAATTAAACATTCATATATATATATATATATAATACAATGTGATACATATATAAAAATTCTTAAGATATTTACAATTGTTTAAATATTTTAAACAGTTAAAAATAAATAGAACAACTGGTGTAAATTAATATAACAACTAAAAAACTATAATTGTTTTCTAAAATTTTCAAATCTAATTAAAATATATATTATACAATTTATATGAAATAATTTAACCATATTTTAATAAAATTGTACTACAGTTTTTTTTTCTACATATCTGTTTTTTCTCTTTCTAAAAACTGATTATTTTATAATTTGTGAAGAAATAATGAAGTAAGTTAATTTTTTTTTCTCATAAAACCACATTTAAAAGTAAAACATTTATGAGAATTATTAACAAGTTAAATTAAAAAGAAAACTCATTATGTATATACTAGTTATTTGTTAAAATGTGCGGTGGTTATTAATTCTTTTTTTATCAATCATAATTGGCTGTTAAAGAAAAGATAAAATAAAAAGAAAAAGGATAATTTGTATTATCCCCTGCGGAATTGATTAAAAACGCTGGGTAATTGATAGGTTGAGAAATGAAGTGCGGTCCAATGGATATTACTCGACATGGAAAAACGCAAACAGTATTTCCTGTTTTTTTAGAAAACCGCAGCTTATAACCAATTATAAGTGATTGGTGACATGTTGTGGTTTTGAGAAAAAAAACATGAAATCCGCTTTTTGTGTGGTCACCATTCACGACCTAAGAATAGATCCTTGAAAAACGTGCCTGGGAGCGTTTTCCAGAGAAGTATGGAACTCCGGAAACAAAACTATTTAATTCTATAAAGTTATAAAATATGTTTTTCCAAAAACTCAAATTTCGTACCTCCAAGAACTCCCATAAAATATCTCCAGCCACGGTGTCGAAATCTCCGGCCACCGTCTCAAAATCATCGGAGAAAAGATTGAGGAAAGAATTCCAAGAAGAAGATCACATCCTGAAGGCTCATGTGAGAGCGTCGTTACCTTCGCCAGAAAATATTTCCCGGTGGGAAGCTACCGTTAACGGCCCGGTGGGTTGCCCTTACGAGAACGGAGTCTTCACCGTCTCCGTTCACATCCCATCCAAATATCCTTTTCAACCACCCAAAATCACATTCAAGACAAAGGTAACCAAAACTAGAAATCCGGTTTAATTAATTAATCTTTCCGAAATGTTTGGTTTCCGGTTTAAAATTTCGTGGTTTTTTTTTTCTAATCCAGATTTTTCATCCTAATATAAGCGAAAGTGGAGAAATCTTTGTTGATATATTAGGATCACGATGGTCTTCGGCGTTGACCATCAATCTTGTACTGCTTTCTGTATGTTCGATTTTATCGAACCCGGTTGAACCGTTTTTGATTAGCAATCATGCCGCGAGACTGTACCGGAAAGACCGGAAAGCTTATGAGAAAGTTGCGCGAGAATGGACTCTGAAATATGCAAAGGATTAGTTGTTCTTATTTTATATATTTGTTTATGTCTATTGCGATTAACTATAGACTACTTCTGTTTTGTTTCGTCAGTTTAGTGTCGTGTAATACTGAGAGATTGGATACTATAGTTGTATTTGTATAGCAGCTGCTAAACTTTGTTGAAAATTGTTTTTGTGCTTCTGTTTTTTACTTTCACAGTAAACAATTCAAATATTAACTGAAGAAAATTTAGAAATATGAGTTTCTTTTTCGTCGAACATAAAAGTGTTTGAACTATTTTAAGCGAAGTTTCGATAAAAGAAACATTGAAAATTATCTCTTGGTCGTTTATCAAATACAACATTACAATAAGTTGTAACTCGGTGATACTTTTTACTTTATATTAATAATAAGTCATGTATATATGACACATACATATACAAATTAATGATCACATATAAACACCATAAATTTAATTTTTAGAAATGAGGGTACGATATAATAAACATTCGACAAATGACATTATAAACGAGACAGAAACAAAAAAAAAAAATATTGCACTTCGGATGAGACTCACGACTTTGATGAATCTAGGGATTGGCCTTTTGTTTGAGACAAGATAATCTAGGATACTTTGGACTACATCCCCATGCATGATCTTGTTTGAGAGCTTCGTAGCTTATCACATCTTCCGCATTGGTCTTGAGTGTTGCAAATGTGAAGAACACCATAATCAGAGCCATATATATAATAATAGCCTTTATTAATTTCTTAGACATACCCATATCTTTTTCTTTCTTTTTTTGAATGAACTAAGGAAAAAAGCTCGAATTTATCTATAGAAAGATTAGATTTGTTGTTTTGTTTTGTGAGAAACATTAAGGGACTATTAAAGCTTTAAATAATGTAGGAGATGGGAGAAAATATATTGTTATGTTTCTTTCTTTTTTTGGCATGTAGATTTGGTGTATCTATCTAAAATATTGATATTGTTATTTTACTATTTTACTCCTAAAGTGATTAGAATTTAGTTTCACATCTTAAGAGATATCCAAAGTTTTAAAGGTTTTGTTATCATTGCAAGTTTGCAACAATATACTGGATGAACAGTTAAAGAAAACTGAATCACTTTAACAAAACAAAAAGACAGAATTATACTTTTGTTTTTCTGAATGGTACAAAAACAATAAGCTGCAAATTACAGGCAAATCATGTTTTGATTAGTTTTATTAACTCGTTCAATTAGTTGGTTAATTCTTCTTCGTAAATATGAAATGAAAAATCAGTAAGCAGCTTGGTATCAATGAATCAACAAACAGTTTCTTTTAAAAGTAAGATATCTTGATAAAGATTATCTTAATCAACAAATATTCAATTCCATCTTGAAAACGAAATTGTGTAGAAATATAGTTTCACACCATTTATTTTTGCATTTACGTTTGTATTTACATTTAGTATTTTTTAAAATAATTTTTTTACAGATTTATACAAAATTCATTTATTAATTGTACCGTACGTAAATGCCAAACGAAAATAGAAGAGAAACCTTACGTTTGCGTTTGAACTTTGAAGTTTGTGTTTGTGATGATTTTGATCTTTTACAAGAAAATGAAAATATTCTTTTTCACGAACTACAATAGTGTATTAGTGTTCTATTCAGAAATGTGAATTTCACTCTCGCATACTGTATAAACGCAAATAAAATATCTGACACTAATACATTTCCATTATTGCTATTAAATGTATTCAAATAAAAATATTTGAATACATTTCCATAAACGTTATTCAATACTATTTCAATAACTTGCCTCGCTTATGCAGCTTATGCCAAGTATGAGAATTCAATAACTTGCAAGAAATCTGGAAGTCATGCCACAATAAGCCTCTAGGCCCTCTACTATAAAGCCCTCAAAAGCTCCCCAAGTTTCTTACACAACAAAATGAATAAGCTAATCTTCCTTCTTCTCCTCTCTCTCGTCCTCCTCCCTCTTCACGTATTTGTGGCAGCGCTCGGCAGCTGGAGTCCCATCAGCGACGTTAAGGATCCTCACATCGTAAAGATAGGCGAATTCGCGGTCTCCGAGTACAACAAACAGAGCAAATCGGGACTTAAGTTCGTGACAGTTGTTAGCGGCGAGTCTCAGGTAGTCTCTGGTGTGAATTACCGGCTTGTAGTGGCGGCTAATGACGGCACCAACCCGAGCAAAAACTACGAGGCGATTGTACTGGAGAAGCCGTGGCTGAAATCAATGAATCTCACTTCCTTCAAGCCAGCCACTATTAATGGTCGCTTCCTATGATGAGTTTCCATGTAGCCTATCTTTTAAATATAGCAAATAAGTTAAAATAAATAAAGGAAATGCTCATTTCTGTATTATCTGGTTTTCTGATTTCATGTATGGGCAAATCTGAAGAAAATGATATTGAACAAGTTTTGACATCTGCTAATTTTTATTTTTAAACAACATGCATTATTTGGACATGAACCATATATATGGTGACACTATATACTAACACAAACTAATAGACTACATGTACTGGTTTACATCTCCTAGTTATGTTTGGATAATCTTCTATATGTAGATTATGGGTCACAAGATTGTATTGAGATGTATATATATATATATATTCTCCCTTTTGAAATATAAAATGTTTTAGCAAAAGTGTGAAAATAAAAAAGTTTAATTATGATTTCCCCCTTCTTTATATAACTTTATTTTAACTGCAACGATAATTTATAAAAAAACATAAATGCTCATATTCATATATTTAAAATAAAATTACACATTTTTTTGTTAAAGAATAAAATTACACATACACGCGCGCGGTATTAGTTTTCCTACTTATAACATAACAACTAGATTATCACTTTCCCAACATACGGTATAACTTACGTAGTTTGTGCTAATGATGTCTTTGATATATTAACATTCAAATTTAAATAAGTATATGATACATGTTGTTAACAAAAAAAAAAAAAAACACTATAAACACATAACTGTGTATATATAATCATATAAATATAGATTGATTGATTGATCGTTTCCATCAATGATTGCAGAATAGTATGTTTTACAGAAATGTAAACGTAAAATAATAAAATTACATTTTTATTATCATATATGATTATAAAATAAAAATAAGATATATTAATCCATATAAAAGAATACATTTTCCGCCCTCTTGTTCTCCGTAATACGTTTTGTTGATTTCTTTTTTGAGATCTTTTGATATATATTACTCCGAATAGTCATGTTTTCATATCTCTAAAATTCCAACCCTATGAAGCTTCAGTACTGTTTTTTGGGATTGGCTTCGTATATGGATTTGCCCTAGTTTTCTCACAAAACTGAGGATATTTTTGAGAACATCCCCATGCATGATTCACACGCATAGAATCATATGATATAACTTGCTCCATTTTGATTGTATTCGCCTCAAAAACAAAAATAATTAGTAGAGCGAGATATAAAACCGATATTTTCTTCAACATCGCCATATTCTGAAAAAGAACAAAGTAAACTATATGGGTTTTCACTTACTTTTGATTGTTTATTACATTCTTATAGATTTCTAATTTCTAATTTTGAGTTGATGCTTTATTTAAATAGTTGGTTGCGTTTGCTAAATAAAGTTAATTGTTTGAAGGGTTCCTTAGTTATGCAATTCCAACTAGACTTTGTTTCACAAATGTAATTATTGTTATTAGTTCCAACAATACATAAATAAGATCTATGTAATTAGTTAATAACAACAAAATGTCGACCCAAAAATATTATAAAGATGTCAAAGTTAGTTTTTTTTTTTTTTTTTCCACAACCTACTCTCGTAATATATATCCTTCTAGATTTGTATCGTGTAAAATTAGATATATGTATTAACTAAATTTTTTTTGGGAGATTGACACAAATAGCCCCAAAAAAATTGTTTTTTTCCAAAAATAGCACCTCATTTGAAAAGTTCCACAAATAGCACCATAAACTTCAATTAAACTTAATGAAAATATAAGATAGAAAATAAAAAAGAGAGCAAACACTAATCTAATATTAAATTGAATCAAAATTGTTTTAAATAGTGGAAATTTATACCCAAATTTGGAAATAGGGAACCCAAATATAATACCACAAACTAATATTAAAATAAAAATCTATTTTAAATGGTGAAAATATATACCCTAAATTGGAAATAGGGAACCCAAATATAATACCATAAACTAATATTAAAATGAATCAAAATCTCTTTTAAATGGTAGAAATATATACCCTAAATTGGAAATAGAGAATCCAAATATAATATTTTAAATTTATTTCTAATTTATTTTGTGGAATAGCTTTGATATAAAAGTTGTGGTATTATTGAAAAAAAAAAGCTAGTGATAAAATTTTTAGAACAAAAACACTAATAGTAAGTTAACTAGTGCTATTTTTGGAAGTTTATGGAGTGTGTGCTATTATTGTCAATAAAACTTGTTTTAGGACCATTTTTAGGAATTTCTCATTTTTTTTCTCTGATTTTTTCCTTTTTGCTTACTAAAACTATTATTTTTTTAATAATTATAAATAGTACATCTACTTCTATGATTAAGTTTCAAAAAGTATCCTTAATTAAGTTTTAATTTGACCCTTTTTTTTACCGTCTAATCCAATTGACCCTTATATTGGTAGATTTGTATTGACTCAAATTTTTATTTTCCTTTAAATAAAATAAAATTATTTGTGTGTATTTCCCTTTACCTTTGTGAATTGGGCTCTCTTCGTCTCCCTCTCTCTTTGTCCGAGTAAGATACTGAATATAAATACTTTCTCTCGACTCTGTGACTCTTGGCAACAATAAAAAAAGAACGAACTTTGAGACAAACCCTTTGTGCTCTCTTTTACAAATCCCTAGATTAGGTTAGTTTCTAATCTCTTGTACATCGTTTCGTCTTCCATCCTTCTAACGTTTAATATTCTTCTCTCTGAACCTCTTTGATTCTTCTCCTTTGTGGGTAAACTATCTGGATTCTGCTTTTTTTTAGCTTTGGACTAGCATCAGCTTTAGTTCAACAAGGTTTACTTGACTACTAGTATTTAGTGTTTCGATTTGACTTAGATAACAAAATCTCAACTTTTTAGTTGTTTAGACCCCTGGATGATTTTGTAACTCTGAATTTAGGGTCTTTGTTGGATATATCTTACATACGAAGCAAATTTTGTGTATTTTTCGTAAAAAGCTGGTACCTTTTTGTAATGTGTGTGTTTTAAGAATCCTGGAGTTTAAATGGGTTTGTTTGATTTTCATTAATGTACAAGTTGATTGTTACTTTCATCGTTTCCTACTACTTATTTTGTATACTTAAATGTGAATAAGTTCCTCACTTTGTCTATATCTGGCCATCTGGTTTCTGGTTGGAAAGTTCCGATTTTTATCTGTTGGATGTTTATCTCTCTGTTTGCTTAGTCTAATGCTTTATTTGCTAAGCTGTGATTTGAGTTTTTCGGATGAAGCTAATATCTTTCTGTATAATGGTCTTTACGCAGTCTCCTTTGTCTGGCTTTGAAGTTTTGATAGATTTCTGATTAGTAACGAATGGGAAAGAGATTAAAGAAAGGTCAAAAGCCTCCATATGTGGTTGCCTCCATCGGTCTCCAAGAAGATAACTAAGCAATCTGAGCACAGCGTGGAGGTAACTGAGGAGGTTGTGACAATGCCGGAAAAAAGATCTTGTGTCCATTTTGATAAATTTGTTGATTTGGATAAGCTGTTGAAAACGATTAAATCCTCTCAACGAATCAAGTGTGGAGAATGCAAGGAAGGAGTGCACGTGAAGAGAGGAAGTAAAGGGAGTATTAGTAGCGGGATATACTGGTTTTCTTCTTCTGACCAGAAGTGTGCTAAAAAGGCTATTTGGGTTTGTTTGGAATGTGGCTATTATGTTTGTGGAGATGTTGGTTTGCCGACTGGGGCTCAGAGTCATGTAATGCGGCACTTCAGGTTGACGCGTCACCGCTTGGTGATTCAATGTGAAAATCCTCAGTTAAGATGGTGTTTCTCATGCCACTCACTTCTCCCTTTTGATAATGAAGAGAATGGTGAGAAGAAAGATTTGTTACTGGAAGTCGTGAAATTGATTAGAGAACGATCTCCAAACACGTTCTCCGCTTCAGTTGAAACTGAAAATTCATGTTCAGGAAGTGGTAGTATCGCTGGTGGTAGTTTTATTGGTGGTATAGAAGCAAGAGATGGTTATGCTGTAAGAGGTTTAGTTAACCTTGGGAACACATGTTTCTTTAATTCTGTAATGCAGAACCTTCTCTCTTTGGATCAATTACGTGAGAACTTCTTGAAAGATGATCTATCTGTTAGCGGGCCTCTCGTTTCTTCCCTGAAGAAATTATTTGCTGAATCAAAATCAGAGGCAGGCTTTTTTAGGAATGCGATAAATCCAAGAGCCCTTTTCGTTTCTGTCTGTTCTCAGGCTCCTCAATTTAGGGGATATCAGCAGCATGACAGTCATGAGTTGCTAAGATGTTTGTTGGATGGTTTGAGCATTGAAGAATCGAGCCTGAGGAAGAAGCTTGGTGTTTCTGATAGTAATGACAGTTCTTCATATCAGAAACCTACTCTAATAGATTCTGTATTTGGAGGTGAAATTTCAAGCACTGTTTCTTGTTTGGCATGTGGGCATTTCTCAAAAGTGTATGAACCCTTTTTGGATCTCTCTTTACCTATTCCGTCCAAGAAACTTCCTCCTAAAAAGCAAAGAATCGTTTCTCTGGCAAAGGAGGTCCTTAAGAATGGGGCAGTCGGCAAAGATTCAGAAGTTGTGTCAGCTAAACCTGCATCGGATCACAATTTCACTGTTTCCAACCCTTCTTCTATGGCCCTTAATGATAAGCAGGTCTCTGATATCACAACAGAATCTGATACCGAACAATGCGAACTTGATATTTGGTCGGATTTGGACTTGCTAGGTGATGTTAGTGATATTGCCACATCAACCAAGGCTAAAGGAGTTAATCAGACTTTGGTAGGTAGCACAGAAACGCTGATGCATGATAATGATGGAACTGCAAAACCAGAAACTGTACCAGATAATGAAGAAGCACAATCTAATGAAGACACATCTGCAAGTGGGATTTCCGCAGTGATAGATGAGGCTCAAGTTTTCGGTTCTCCTGATTTAGAGAAAAGTTCTTCATCTGCAAATCAGTGGGCTGATGAAGAGCTTCCCTTGATGGTTCCAGATTCTCAGGTTCTGTATATGCCTTATAAAGATCATTTATCCTATGATGATAATACAGTTGCAGAAGGTAAGGATGGGGCTTTCTCGTCATATGTCAGCTGCCGCCATGAACAAATCGAAGATCATTTTGACTTTAACGCTGATGAACCTGGCATCTCCTCTATTAATATAACAGATATGGCAGGTGAGGGCGGAGCTTCCTCGTCATTCGTGAGCGGTGACCATGAACCAAAAATAGACTATATTGACTTTAGCAGTTTTTTTGATGAGCCTGAGATACCCGAAGGACCTGTTTTTAGACTGCTATCTAAAGCTGAAGTTTCTGAAGCTGGTTTTATGGCTGACAGCAGTAATGATAAAACAGTTAGTGCAGGTAAGGGTGAAGCTTCCTCGTCATTCGTAAGCAGTGACCATGAACAAAACATAGATTATGTCGACTTTGCCAGTTTTTTTGACGAGCCTGAAATATCGGAAGGACCTTATTTTCGACCATTATCTAAATCTGAAGTTTCTGAAGCTGGTTTTATGGCCGTCAGCAGTAATGATAAAACAGTTAGGGCAGGTAAGGGTGAAACTTTTTCGTCATTCATGAACGGTGACAATGAAAGAAACATAGATTATGAATCTATTAACAGTTTATTTTACGACCGTGAGACATCTGAAAGACCTGTTTTTGGACCACCATCTAAAGCTAAAGTTTCTGAAGCTTGTTTTATGGCTGTCAGCAGCGACTCTGATCCTGCAGTTCTTGATGATTCGGATTCACCAGTGTCTGTAGATAGGTGTTTGGCTCAGTTCACCAAGCCTGAGATTTTGTCAGAAGACAATGCTTGGCATTGTGAGAATTGTTCGAAGAACCTAAAACTTGAGCGGTTGAGAGAAAAGAGAAAAACTGAAGGATTGAGCAAAGGATGGGTGAATGAAAATGGAGCTAGTTCGGTTTTTGATGAGTGTAGAGACAATTCATTAAGTCAATCCTGCATAGATCTCGAAAACGGGTATAAAGCTGCTCCTCCGATCACAGAATTGCCAAACTGCAAGGAAAAGGAAAACGCAGTAGATGATGGAATTCTGGGAGACTCAGATCCAAAGCAAGCTCCAATTACTTCTTCTGTTACTGAAACACCTATCCTCGGTGGAGAAACCATCAGTTCTCAACCAGCCAGCGACAATGAATGTGAAAACTGGGAAGACTTGGCAGTAGATTCTGAGAAAGTGATAGTAAAAAGAACTGCTACTAAAAAGGTACTTGTGAACAAGGCACCACCTGTCTTGACCATTCATCTCAAAAGGTTCAGCCAAGATGCTCGAGGCAGAATAAGCAAGCTAAGTGGCCATGTTGATTTCCAAGAGTTCATTGATCTTAGCCAATATATGGATACAAGGTAAGCAGAATCTTTTCCTTTAATGTTGCCACATTTGGTCTGAACCATCATAAAATCCAATCATTGTTTATTTCTCTCGCTCTCTAGGTGCACCGAAGAAGACCAGCCGGTTTACAGGTTGGCCGGGTTAGTGGAGCATTTAGGGACAATGAGAGGAGGTCATTATGTTGCTTACATTAGAGGAGGCCACAAGGAGATGAGGCAGTCTGATATTACAGAACCAAACTCATCCATATGGTATCACGCAAGCGATTCTTTTGTTCGACGGGCTTCTTTGGAAGAAGTTCTCCGTTCTGAAGCGTATATCTTATTTTACGAACGAATCTGAGAACCTAGAGACTGGAAATCTTTTGTTTTTTTTCTTTCTCTTTCTATAATATAGGTTAAAAGGTCAAGATATGTTTGACGTTCTTCACAATTTGTGCTGGTGAATTTGACTCTCTTGACAATTGAGTTAAAAAAAGTTTGCCTTGTTTGAAAAGTTAAGTATATTTTTACGTTCAGCTATAGATAATTGCTACGTAAAGTGTAGAACGTTATAAACTCTACCGGTATAACTACTTGGTTTTAGTTGAAAACCGGGCACATTTCAGGCTGACGTACAATATATATTACGTCGGCGGCGAGATAATACAGGTCTTGATTCCGGTTCCAGCTCCACAACGCATGCGTCTCATTCTTCACCTAAAAAAGGCAAACGTTAAAAATCACCAATTCGGTTTAAGCAATTTACTACAATAAGCATCTGGTTTATATTGGTACAATCTGAGAAAACAACGGAACCGGTTCTGAGTTTGATTTATGATTTCATGTGATTTGCAGTCAATAGAAACATGCTTATGTCCCAAGGAACTAATCTTAGTAGGTAACTTGAACATAAAGCGATAAAGAATAGATAGAGAATCTAACTTACTTCTAGCATACCGAAACCGAAGCTGCTCTCTCTGTATGCGCTATACTCCGGCTGCTTAACCGGACAAGTCTCATTGTTTACAGGCTCCAACGTGAAGTTAAAGCCACTGGATCTGCACGAGTAGTTCTGAGAAGGATCGGGACAGTTTCCTGGGTCATCTACATGCTGAGTCTCCAGCTTCCCAGCTCCTCCTGCACCGGTTGTTATATAAACCGGGCCACATTGGTCTAACGTGTAGTTGTAGACTCTGTTTGATCTCTCATATGCATCAACCTAATTCATGTTTTATGGGAAAATCAGTGTCAAAGAACATATTTCCCAAAAGCAAAGGAATACTCCAACAGCACAACACACCATACCTGACTATTGAAGATGATATCGACTCGGTAGCTATAGAGCAAGTCTTCAAGATTTATCCTCATGGATTCAGCTTCTTTGTAATGCCCTTGGAATGTGCTGTACCAAGGAAGACTCCAAGTTGCAACCACCCATGGAGTTTCTGATCTGTTTATGATACTCAGGTCACTTTCAAGCCAAATATACTGATCAGCTGTTGACGAAACAGGAAATTCGGGAAATCAGAAACACATTTCAATGCAGTTTAAACGTAAAGAAAGAAATTTAAAACATGGAGAAGCTTTACATGAGTTATCATAAGGTGTGTATGAATTGAGGACTATGAAATGAGCTCCTCCCGCGTTGAAGGAATAGTATAATGGTGAGAAAGAACCACTTTCGTTTGAAGGGAATGCGAATCTTGAACTGTATGCAGCGAATGTCAGATTATTATCGGTCTGCGACTCAATCTCGTGCTCTCCTGCTACCATCATGGTTGGAACATTAGCCGTGAGTGGCTCCATGAACCTGTCATCAAAGACAGCCCCCATTAATTTAGTGTTTAAAACCACCAAAGGATTCACAATCACTAGAGAAGAATCTTCTTTTACCTTCCCCAATAATCCCAGCGAGGCTGATAAGTTTCTCGACTTAAATAACAAGAACCACAATCAGAACTGGTTCCATTTTGGTCACAATGACAAGAACTACAATCTAGTTTAGTGTTATTCGCGAGATAAGTATCCGCGTAGCTGAATCCTCCAATTAAAACCACAAGATCAGGATGGTTAGACAGAATCTTTGTCAAAACTATTGATGTGTTGTAAGTAAGACCTAAATCTCCTGCCACAACGATTCTGTGCGGGTAATTCTCTGATGTAGACTTAGGCATTGTCCTAAAGTAATACTCTTTGCTCATTGCTGATAAAGACAGGTCTCCACATCGGTATCGATACAATGTGTTTGGTTTAAGACCTGTGAGTTGAACATGGTGGATGATGCCTGAAGTATAGTTCTTGAGACCATTCTCAGAAGGATACTCAGAAGGATACTGTTGGGTATAAACAATAGAATGGCCTGTTGCATTTTTATTTATAGTACTACGGACATCGAATTCACGGTATTGGACTACGCTTTGCACACAATTAGGATCCAGAGGTGCAGAATCTTCTTCACCAATTTGGTACTCCCCTGTAGTATAATACAACAACCATGCTTCAGACAAATGCAGAAACAGAGAATAGCAAATAGTTTCTTAAAGGATGAATTTTTAAGACAAAAATCTTGATGCTGTAACAGACCGGAACAAACAACAACTGTTGCTTCAAAAGAAAATCCAGGTCTTGGCTCAAAAAGATTAAACCTTTATGTACTTTCAAGCGAAACTAATCACACATTCCACATTTTTGTAAACATAAATAAGTCAAATTTTGAGAATTTAATAATATATCGATCTTTGTAGTAAAAAAATTGTTTATTTCGAAAGGGAGAGAAAGTTGAAGAGACAAAAAAAAGACCTGTGACCCAAGAAATCCAGACGGAGTCAAAGCTGTAAGAGAGAGAGACAGAGATCTGTTGGGGAAGAAACTCCGGATTGGGTTTTACGAAACTCGGGTCGGATTCTGGCAAGTCGAATGCAATCGGGTTAAGATTCGGGTCGAGTGGAGCAGTCACGGGGTTAAGCGGACAGTCGAGCGTCGATGGGAAACCATGAACGATGACAGTAACAGTAGAAGCGAAAATGACGAAAAAGGACATCGACATTGTACATTTTACCACCATTTTTAGATTTTTACATAAATGTGTGTTGCAGCGAAGAAGATAATAAACTGTAGAGTATTTGGAATGAAATCTTAACATTAAAAAAAAAAGGATAATAAACTCTTTACCACAAAAATAAGAAATTTGGTTATTTACCGGTTTACATTGTGAACCGGTAGACGCTTTATCGATTTCCGGTTCTCAGATTATAAACCAATTACCGAGAATTAACTAATTTCCTTGGAATTTAATACGAATTAACAACAACGTTAAGAGAGACTTAAGATGCAACATGGAAATTAAAATTGTAATTAAGAAAAATAGCTAAAGTCTTTAGCAGGCCTAATTCTGTTTATCCCGGGAACAAATCGGGAAAATTCCGGCGAGATCTCAAGGAGTGTAAGGACCGCCACCGCCAAGTTCCATGACCGAACAGATCTCATCTTCTTCTTCCATCTTCAGCTGTTGGAACAAAATTAGGAAAATATATTAAATTAAATGAACAGTGAACAACAGTGTTGTTGTAGATAAATAATATAAATAAAAATCAGAAGCTAACGATGAGAGACCTGAGCAGGAGTCTGTCGTGCTTTGATCTCTCTACCGTTGTAGACGAATCGGACAGAACCGTACTCTAAGTTTCTCTTCATACAGTAAGCACTCATTAGTTTCTTTAGATGTGCATGAGCTCCTATTTTGTACAGATCCTCTGCTCCCTGTTAGAAAAAGAGAGGTGTTTTTCCCAATATATCAAGGTTTCAAAGTGGAATGAAATTAAAAAAGATGAGATTATCCTAAAATTCGGTCAGAAGAATGGACCTGTTGGTTCTTGACCTTGAGAGTGATTTTCTGATGGGGTGTTTCAGGAGATCGAGACCTCTTTGATACAAATGAAGCAGAGATGGTGCCTGAGGAACTCACCATTGTTGTTGTGAGAAACTAAACTAGACCTTTAAATTCTTTTGCACAAATCTTTCCGGGTTTTGAGGTTTTTTCTGGGTTCCAGAGAGAGAGAGAGAAAGAGAGAGATGAAAGGTAAGAAAGTGATGGGAAAGTTAAAAGAGCTTTGAACGAACATTAAAAAGTACAATCCTCGTCAAACACTCTTATTGGTCCATTCTCTTCTTTTTACTCATTGAGTATTCCCATTTTACCCCTGGTGTTTTGTTTTATCGATCATCACTTCACACGTTACACATTCCAACAGTACGTTGAAATTTGTACTGACTCATGCAACAGGCATCATTGTTGTTAACTTACAAATTCAAACATATTTCAAATGATACAACTAGCACAAAAAAAAAAAGAAGAAAAAGAAAGAAAAACAAAAACTAATACATCTGTTAGAAGAACTTTAAAAATCCCAAAACTGTATAATAGACTAAGCTTTCGTTTATCGTCTGTCTCTCCGAACCAAAAACATCACATCCAAGATCTAGAGAGGAGTCGTCTCCTAAAGAGTATTTCCATGTCTAAAATTTCTCTAACGAAATAAATTATTTTTACTTTTTTACCTCCACAAAGTGTCTGACTGTAGGTGATTCAAGAAAAAAAGATGGGACACCGGAAGATGTGTGAGAAGGAATGGATCGATCTACATGAGGAGAAAACAGTGTTGGATATCTTCATCATCATTATTTTCGTCATCATCATCATCATCATCATAAAGAATCGATATAATCTGGAGATTGGATGATTCGAATTAGCTCCTTCAGGTTTGCTAGAACCTGACGTGGTCCTAGACTATTTTCCCCAACAAAGTTCAGGAGTTGCTCGATGTTCTGTGAGATGATGACTATGATTAGATGAGAGGAGAGGCAAACTATGAATTGTTCTGTTTCAAGTATCAGGGAGACGAACAAAACCAAAAACTTCTTCAACTAACCTTGTTTAATAAGAAGACAGCATAGGCAGCTCGTGTTGTATCTTGACCATCCAGAAACAGAGGAAACTCTACAAAGTTAGAATTTTGGGAAAGCGTGGTAATCGGAGACATGTCTGATGGTGAAGGCTCAATGTAAGGTGCATAGTCTCGAATGTATGTTTTGGAACCACCTAGGCGCAAAGGATAACGAATAGGCACTCTCAAGTAAGGAGCTATTAGGGACACAGCCTGTAAAAGCCAAGCAGGAAGCCATTAGTACTTTCTATCAAGAATTTTAAACCAAAAAAGATTCCTGAAAACCAGAGCGAAGAGATTTAAGGGCACACAAAACACAAGTATGAAGCAAATTTTAATGCATAGATCAGTAACGAGAAAAGAGAACAGAACATACATGGGCTACATATCCCAGGGCGGTTGCGGACTTCTGAACTTCTTTCTTGTCAGTGAAGAAGCTCATCCTGGTAAACGGGGCCATACTAAAAGGCAACCCCAGAATTCTCACGGATCCTTGACTCAGAGGCTTAGTCCCTACTAAAGATATAAGCATGTCAAGCAGGGAAGATGCTGCAATGAAGAAATTTTTTCAAAGACTTACAACAAAAGGAAAATTAGTCCTGCTATCAATATCAGACTGAATGGAAGTAAAGATGAAGGCATGCATTAAAAGATATTAAGGAGTCAGGTCTCGTTCTCATCAAAGGCTACATTCTTAATTCTTATAAGATTTTAGACTAACTGACCTAATCTACTGCCACCAGGAAATGATTCCAGTTCTTGGTCTTGTGAAGGTCCAGCCTCAATCTTCAAGGGATAGATAAATGAAACTTGAGATATCATGAACTGCTGCCTCTTTCTCAGCTTATTCGTTACAATCTTTAAATGTGCATAACCACTCTCTCCTTCTAGTTGGCAGTTGGATTCCTATGAAAACAGAAAAATACGCTAAAACAGTGTATCTATGATTCAATCATTCACCAATTTGGTCATAGCATAGTAGAACTAAAAGACAGTTAAATGAAGAAACTATAAGTTGTGAAATGAATATAGAAATCAAAACTGTATGTACGCCTGTCAAAGAAGAGGCCAAGAGAACATGGGGAAACAACTAATTTGAAATAGCCATACACCAGGAAATGCAAAAGTGATACACCTTGCTTCCTGATAAGATAATTTTGCACTGAATGAGGAAATACCTGCAATTTGCTTTTAGCAATGGAAAGAGTTGTTCCGCCTACTAGCAAAGATCTCACTTCTGTACTAAGATTATCCTCTTTCTTTTTAACATCCTGCTCAGTAACTTTGCAAGCAATTGATGTCTTGTCCACCAGCAATTTTCTTGCTTCCAGCCTCTGACGCATTTCTTCAAGTTCATTAGTGCGTCTCAATGATTCAGTACTAACCTGCCCGAAATTTTGCCGCCCGCTAATCCGCGGGCTAATCAATTAAAGCTCATCGAGTAGATAAAGTAAGAGATAAGTAAACTATTAATCCAGATGCCCCACAATAAACTTCCTATAGTGGAAGTCTCAAACAATAAGTAGTGCATCAAAAACATTAAGACGCAACAACACAAAGCACTTCTACGATAATAGCTCAGAATCAAAGGCCATAAACTATACAATTGGTCCTCAAAATTGTTTCGAATTGAGTTTTTCTAGCTAGCTTCATCTACATTCCTTAAGACAATGCCACTAATAAAAATTTATGCTTTCCACTCAGAAATTAATCAAAACCAGATATGCCCAAAAGAAAACACATGAGTAAGAGAAAAACCTGAATAAGAGACTCAAGTTTGGGCTGCAGGATTTGCTTCTTTTCTGTTGCTAATTTCAGAGCAGAAGAAAGACTCCATAACCTCGTGAGCTCATGGTCAAATTCTTCCCACTCTATAATCTTCACATCTTCTCGATCGCTTCTTCTCAAATTTTCTGACAAACTTCTCTCTGATTCTCCTTCCATCAACAATGATCTCGGAACCCACGCAACGCAAGTTCTGGCATCAAGTCTTTAGGAGAATACCCAGATCTTTTCATATCACGCTTCGAAATTCATCACCAATCTTAACGGAACCGAGAGATCGGATTAGAACACAATCAAAAACCCTAACTTTAAAAAAGCCGATCACCTGGAGATGATGATTGGTTCAAAGGAAAAGCAATGGAAGCTAGAAACGAATCGGAGAAATGAGAGATCGATACACAGGATTGAAGAAGCTTCTCAGGCTGATTCGTTGTTCGATTTGCAGAAAATTTAAAGTTTGTTACTTTAGGAAAGAAAGAGAGATTAGAAACTTCCGGGTCAGAGATTACCCGAACTAACTTAACGGGTGGGTATTTTCTAAAGACCGGGTTAAGCAGTAGGCACCGTTCGATCCTCTCAACTGGTGGCGATTCCTCGTGAAAAGAATGATTCCTTTAACCAAAGTTGTTTTGTACTTTGTACCAAACCAATTCTTTCCTACGGTTCTCTCAATGTTAAACCAATTATTCTGTATCTTAATTTAACTTAGATAATTTTACAATTCACATACTATTCGCAATGTCTGTATTTTTCTGGTTGAATTGATGTCGCTTATAGTGAATTAGAGTTCTAAGGATAATATTTCTTGTTGATTTGATTCCCAATGTCTTTTGACACTTTTCATGATATGCTTCTTATTTTCACACTTTTCATGTATGTATGAGTGTATGACCTTGAATTTGGTTTTACATATTTTCCCTTTATATATACATTTAGCCATCAAAATTCTTGAGAACATAAAGTCAAATTCTCTTGTCACATTTTCAAAACATTCTCATATATATATATATATATATCAAAATCCAACTATTACATCAAAACATTCTCTTTCCATAGTTACGGCGGCGACAAAACGAACAACAACCTGCTGTAATGCTCGCCGCCGTCGTTGTCGCTGCCGCCTGCTGTGGCATAACGAACAGACTAATAGTCTCGAAAATATATATGTTCTTTCGAGAGATTATATATTCATATAGTTTTGGTTGCTCCACATCTTAAGGAACCAGAAAGAGAGAAATTTGTAATTTATGTATCTTTTTCAAACAAAAAAAATCGTTTGATTTACTACAATCACAAAATGCATCTGAAATGTGATTCAACATGCTATAAATACTGACTGTGCATTCATAAACAATGTCTTAAGCACTTTTTCATATAATCTCAAGTTTTTTCAAATCCTTTGTCTGTGAATAATACTCACTTTGAATATCTTTCCCTTCTTCCATCATCTTCTTAACCATTGCTACCCTTTCAAGAATCCTATCCACTGCAATGTCAAACGCATCTTCAATCTTCTCCGGTCCAACCAACCCCGGTTTAGTGTATATGATTTTCGGTATAATCTTCGCTACCTCATTCCTCATCCTCGAAATCCTCTCCTTATCGATCATACCCAAAATCTTCTTGAGACTAACCGTTCCATTTCTCATTTCGTTCTCTGGTATGTAAACCGAGTACTTGGTATAATCCTTAGGGAAATACCAAATATATTGGTTATAACCCGAACCCGGGCTGAAGAAAACCGGTATACAACCGGCCAAAATCGAATCGAATATCGATCTCCGAGTATACGAATCTCCCGAAGGTTGTAAACAGAAAACCGATTTTTCAAACACCTCCATTATCTTAACCGGATTATCGCAGTCATTAACAAAACAGTTAAGAAATTTGCATTTACCGTGAGATGCAAGGCACTGCTTTATAATCTCTCCCCTTATAGATCCATCCAATTTAGGTCGTGGACCTCCAACAAACGAAAACAAATACTTCCTCTTCACACTCTTCACTTTCCTCTGCCATTTCCAAATCTCGGTTAAGCTCTTTGGATGGAAATAAGTCGGATAAGGAACCGCAAACTCGTTAGCCCAAGCAGTCGTTTCGATAGCTAACATTGTCATGTTTGCGAATTCGGGTAGTCGCATCAGTTTGCTTCCCCAATCTGAATCTTCATCGCGAACCCTCCTGAAATCCCAAGCAATCCGTCCGGTCACAAAGAAGTGATCTCGACCGTACATCTTCCTCCATTCAGGTTTCTCTCTCAGCCATTGTGCCAGCTTTATCCCCAATTCGTCTCTAACAGTCACGTTGTATCCCCAGAGGTGACGGCTCACATCAAATCCTGCGTAGTATGGGACATAGGTCGCTGAGGCTAAAGAAGAGTCGTTGGTTAAGCACTCGTAGTGTTTCATCCTCTCTCTAAAGATAACAGCCAGCAAGAATTGGTTCGTTGAGTACCAAGAACCGGTTTTCGCGGTTAAGACTCGAGCTGTGGTGTTATCGGACTCCGAAACCTGTGGACCGAGCCCGGAATTGACCATGAATGGACACATGTCGAACCATTTGATGAGTGGTCGACAGTCTTTGATTATGTCGTCGTTGAATTTGCTTGGCAGATTGTACATATAGACGTACCTTCCAGCGCAAGTATCTGTTTCTTCTTCCTCAGGCTGCTTTGCTTTGATTCCATCACTCTCATTCGCATTTCTGGTGAGATTTAGGGTTTGATTATGTGAGGAACCAACGATGGAGATGAAGAAGTTGTTTACGTGATGAGTGATTTGGAGATTTGTTCCGATCAAATCTAATTTACTGATTTGAAACAGAACTAAAAGACAGAACAAAAACGCACTTGAGATGACAACCCAAAGCTTTGGAACTGGTGGTTTCATCATCATCTTCTTTTACTTGTGAGAAAACATTGGTATATATTACTTTATGAGATCTTAAATTAAAAAATGTGATATTTTACATTTTCTTCGTTTTTAATGGCTTCTAATTACATTTTCCAAATGAAGTAATATATATTTGGCCATTTATTATGCATTGAATTCAATGGATTATATTCTAAAACTTCTCTCTCCTTTTATAAAGTTTCTATCATGGACACGCAAAGATATGATTCACATATGTTAATGAGATCTCAACTCTTTTACCCAACTGTACTCCACAAAATTAAATTGGAAAATAATATGAATACCAGGAAACTTAATAATATTGTAAAATAAAGGCCAATTTCTTTGTGTTCTAAGAGATTGCAAATCCAAAAGGGATTCTTAGCGTGATCATTCAATTTCAAATCTTTCATTTTCATGATTAGTGTTAAGGAAAAAAAAAGCCACTATATATAAAAACAATTTAAGTTATGGCCATTTTAGATATTTTTCCTTGTGAAACCATTTGACATTTGTCTGTTATATATATGGACCTTAAGAAGATTCCTTTCCTTTGTTGGAAGATTTTATATAAATAGCAAAAGAAATTTATAAATCAGCATTAACCTTTTTCGGTACAAGAGAATAATATAATTTAACATCCTGAATTTATTTTGGTAAGAAATATGAATTTCCTCTTAATTTTCTGATTAGGTATGTTAAGCTTTCTATCTATTAATGAGAAAATTGTGTGTATGACAAAGGTTTCCAGTAACTTGTCAATTTTTTTACCACAATTAGCTGAAAGTTTTTGACGCGAATTCTTTTAGCGTTAAAGTGTAATTTTTAATACGGTTCGATTTAGAGAGAGCTAATATAAAAATGTGGAATACACGGTTTAACTTGGTTTACACAAAAGAAAATTTTGAGAAATATCCTTTTTGATGTGTCTATTTTAAAAAATGCCCATTTTAGGTGTCCATTTTCAAAAACATCCCTCATTAAATCTGGTTTCTTGTTATTCAAGTTCTAGTTTGCCCAAAAAAAAATGACATGGAATAAAATCTTAAAGATCATCGACCATATTCAACTATAATTGAAATTGTATTGAAAAGCCTCGAATCGTAATTAGTACATAAAAAGTTAAAATATAAAATAATGAATCTTTTAAATTAAAAAAATATCAACTGACTTGGTTAATTTTTTTTTTTGTATGAATGTAAAATTATATTAAACAAAAAAGATTATTTTACAATAAATGCGTCACATGAAGTCCGAAAATGTTCGACAAAATTTAGAGTAAATTAGAGTTGACAGAAAGACTACTGACTTGGTTGATTCCATTTTTCATACTCTATAATTTCAATAATTGTTGTGTAAAGAAACGAAATTTTCAACACCATAGATTACTAAACTATAATACTAAACTATCTCCCCTAATATAGTTATGCAGCTGCTAGATCCGTGTCATCTTGAACAATGACACTCTCTCAAGAACCCTAGCCACTGCAATTTCAAACGCATCTTCGATCTTTTCCGGTCCAACCGCCCCCGGTTTTGTATAGATTATCTTTGGTATAATCTTCTCAACCTCATTCCTCATCCTCGAAATACTCTCTTCACTAACACTAGCCAAGAACTTCTCAATACTAACCTTACCATTTTTCACATCTTCCTCCGAAATATAAACAGAATACTTGGTATGATCTTTTGGAAAATACCACTTGTACTGGTTGTAAACAGAATCCGGGCTAAATAAAACCGGTATACAACCGGCTAAAATCGAATCAAATGTCGATCTCCGAGTAGGTGTATCTCCTGGTGGTTGTAAACAGAAAACCGAATCTTGAAAAACCTCCATTACCTTAACCGGATCACTACAGTCTTTAGTCGATGTATCACAATCAAGAAATTTGCAACTTCCTTGTGATGCAAGGCACTGTCTTATAATCTCACCTCTTATAGAATCCTCCATTTGTGGCCGATTAGCTCCGACGAACGAGAACAAGTATCGTCTCTGCATCATCCTCACTTGCATCTGCCATCTCTTAACCTCGGTGTGACTCTTTGGATGGAAATAAGTTGGATAAGGAACCGCAAACTCGTTGCTCCAAGAATTCGTCTCAATCGATAACATCGTTATGTTCTTGAATTCAGGCAACCGCATCAGTTTGTTTCCCCAATCTGAATCTTGATCAGTAGCCCTTCTAAAATCCCGACCAACCCGTCCTGTGACAAAGAAATGATCTCTTCCGAACATTTTCCTCCACTCTGGTCTCTCCCTAAGCCATTGAGCTAGATCTTCACCAAGTTCGTCTCTAAGCTTCACGCTGTATCCCCAAAAACGTCTCACATCGAATCCAGCATAGAACGGGACGAAAACCGCGGAAGAAAGGGAAGAATCGTTGGTCAAACACTCGTAGTGTCTCATTTTCTCTCGGAAGATAACCTCGAGCATGAATTGGTTTGTATAGTACCACGAACCGGTTTCGATTGTTAAGACTTGAGTGGTATGGTTATGTTTGTCCTCCAAGATCCGTGGACCGAAGCCAGAGTTGACAAGGTACTTACACTTATTTCGTAATTCAATGTATGCTTCACAGCTCTTGATCAGATCGTCGTTGAATCTGCTTGGAAGATTGTGCATATACACATACCTTCCGGCGCAAGTATCTATCCCTCCTTGTATAGCCCTCACAGTGATATCTAGGGTTTCTTTGTCGGAAAGAAAGAGATAGTTTGCGATTTGATTGATGTGAAGCAGAAAGAGCATAGAGAACAAAGATGTTGGTAAGATTTCTATCAAAAGCTTTAGAGCTCGTTTCCTCACAATCTTTTTCTTTTTGGGATTGAATTTCTCCATTATCATACTTGATTATGGAGAAATGAAAGTGGTACTACTTTGTGAAGATAGGATACAAAAAGGCAAGTGATTTTACAGAAAATTAATATATTGTTCTTCTACTTGGTGAGGATGTGAATCTTTAATTTGTTTTCTCTGTGTATCAACAACTTGTTTAAATAGTAAATAGAAGTACTATGAGTTTAGTAAGTCAATTTTGTGGATAAAGAAAGGAAAACAATAAAGTTATTGTGTTCCTTTTATTTTCTTACGTTTTAACTTAAATTTATGCATTACACCATCACCATGTGTATGTCATACAAAATGACACATTCCACTTGTCCTTTTTTTTTTTTGGTATCAGAACATTCCACTTGTCCTAATATTATAAAGGATTCTAAATTGTAGAGATGGTCAGTGCTATTACATAATGAAACACGTAAGACTTGTAATGATACAAAAATGTTTTAAAAGACACTTTGACAATGAAAATAGGAAAAGAAAGACCCTAGTATAGTATAATAGTTTGTAATATAAAGCATACCAACAAAAAAAAAACAGTTTGTATATTTAATATGCGCGTCGCCGCGTTGGTCATGGCCATAGATTTTTAGAGAAATTAGATATGCCAGTACCACTAAAAGATTGAACCAAATGACACTAAAATTTAGATAATAATTAAAAGAAAAGTACCTAACACAAAGATCGTAGTTGAACTTGAAACCAGTTGCAAATGACAAGAAGCAGTATCTGAAAATTCAAAGATCTGTTTTTTTTCTCTGCCTTTTTGTCTTTCAACAGAAACCAATAAAACCAACAACAAATTCCCACTAATTTTAAAAGAAAATAAAATCATGAAGCGTATTCAAAGGCTTGGGGAGGTTGTGGTTCGTCATCTACGGCCATAGCCGAGGCTGTGGTTCCTTGTGCAGCCGCTGCTGCACCAGTTGCAGGAGAAGCTGTTGAAGTTGGTGCGTCGGTCAGAGAGAGAACCTCTGGCTCGTGTTGACGCAAGTCTTTGAGAAGAACGAAACCTGATGGAGCTAGCTTCACTGGTACGTATCTGCTGTCTTCAAGTAACTTTATGTATTTCTCTTGTGCTGGGACTACTCGAGCTGGGTTCACTAGAATCTCAAATGCTGGCTCTGGCTCAGCAGCTTTCTTCTCGACCGCTGCTGGGCTATCGACCTGACAGTTCGTGGAAACAAGAATTTCAAATCACAGATGATCCAAACACGATAAAGACTCAACTCGAAAAAGAAAGAATGTAAAGGATGTTTACTCCGGATAAACCAAATTGCCAAAAATATACATCCGAAAACCTGAACTCGAATCTAAACTGCAACCATTCCAAACGACCCGTCGTATATTTGGTGGTTACTATTTTCTTAAAACTGCAAAACCCTAACCGAAACCCAGAATAAACATCCCTTTAGATTCATCTACTTTGAAATTCAAAATGTCTAGCGTGTGTGATTGTAAAACAGAATAAACCTTAGAAGTCTAGTAATTATGAGACTAATCAGGTAATCAATCACAGAAGCTACAAGAAGAGGCTAGAAATTGACAAGATTACCTGCATAGAGTCTCCTTCCTTCTCAGTTGATGCTTTTCCTTTTCCAGATCCACTTTCATTGACAGGTTTTTCAGGACCAGATGTTTTTTCAGCAATAGCTTTTTGCTCTGCTTCTTTCTTAGCCCTAGCTTTGGCTTTAACTGAGGTTGAGAGAACAGCGGTTGGAAGTTTCACAGCGGTATTGGCTGTAGGAACCGTGGTGGGTTTTGGGTACTCAAACAAAGACGGTTTTGCGTGTGACATGAACTCAAACTTGGGGACCTTAAGGTCGTAATTCAAACCGATGAAAGCAGTTGGTGAGAAGGCCAAACTAATGAAATAGATCAGTGGGTACCAATACCAAAACTGGCTGAAGACTGCAAGGCCGATAACAGCAGTGACTTTGTCATGTTTGGTCTTAGAGAGCAGTCTGATAGTAACGTTCCTACCACCAGCATCAAGGATACCAGAGGCCAGAATTGCTCCCATCTTGCTCATTGTATCTTCGTGCTTGTCGAGTATAATCTTCTCAAGTTGGCGCCTACAAAACATAGATAAAATCTCAGTCTACCAAGATATTCTCTACCTCCCAATGCTGAAGGAAACAGATTTATACTAACCTAAATGCTCCAACACGAGAATCGCTAGCTTCGCTAATTTGAACCATCACCATGGCCATTGCAATCAAAGCACCTTGACGAACAAAGTCAACAACATCTGATGTAAGTGGCTCCAACAAGGATATCGCTTCGCTGAGGCCAGTGCCTGCACAAGAAATACCCACTGCAAGAGCCGCACCATAGCGAACATGTGGATTGTACGACTCAGAAAGCAGAGATACAATACGGGGAGTCTACAGTTACGAAAAAAAACATTGGAATCCGTTAGGGAAGGTAAGCGAACACAAAACTACTGGAAGCACTAAAGAAATAAAAGTTAGTGGTCACAGATAAGGGAGCATCAGAAACTGACCTGCTCTGGATCAGAGTACAAGACAAATCCAAGTGCCAGAACAGCAGTCCTCCTAACATCATCACTGACATCAGATACAGCAAAGTGCAGCAATTGTCGAATTGCCTTGTTGTTTGCGGTTCCACTGTAAGCCAATGCCAATGCGTACATGCCACCATAACGAATGATAGGATCCTGATCTCTAGTCATCTGCTCAATCAAGGTATCTGCTCCTTCTTCTCTACCGTATACTGTAAGAGCTATTCCTAGAGCCAATCCCCTAAAAACGCATTCCAGATGTTGATTAGTGAAATACTAAAGCAAGATAAAATGCACCCTCTTAACCAAAGAATTTAACTTTAGATTACCTTATTATCTTCTCATGCTGTGTCTCATGAGCATAAGCAAGCATCTCACTTGCCTTTTCAGTAGCAGTTCCAACCAATAATAAACCCATGCTGATGCCAGCAGCTTCACCAGCAACTGCACTATCAGTATAAAGCACGCTTTTGACATCATCATATATCTCTTCATCAGCTGTCCCGAGAGCTGACAAGCCAAGACCTAAGCAAGCTCCATGTTGAATGACCTGCATCCATATTTTCCCAATACACATTAATTCCCTGAACAACGAGGCTGCCAGGGAAAATGAGAGACTATTTTGAAGTAAGACATTAATTAATCACCTCAACATTAGTGCTGCGTAGGCTATCACGTAAAAATTGCTTGATTCCCTCGCCATGGTTAGCATGAATAAGGCCAAGGGCATATAAAGCACCTCCTTCGGAATAAGGACTCCCACCACCACCTGCTCCTCCCTGAGGCAAGTATGGAGCCATCAATGACCTACCCTGTTGCAAATGACCTCTGTGAATAACACCTAATCCCGCTGTAGCACTAAACTTAGCCCAATTGGTTGCCCTGCTTAACCAATCCTGTCAATTAAAAAAAGAATAAAAATAAAAAGTAAGTTAAATACACTAAGCAGACAGTCAAACTCAAAAATACATAATATTAGAGTGAAAGTAAATAATTTACCAAATTCTCTCTAAGGAAAGTGTCCACTGTAGTTCCAGCATGCATAATGGCATTAGCATATATTGTAGCACTGTGGCATACACTGTTCCGCATCTCTACAGACTGTTTGATTGTCTTCAGTATCAGCAGGTCCGATCTACAGAAAGACAAAATTATCAATGGAGCATATGATTACTTCCCGGAATAAACGATTTTAGAAGAAAAAAATTATCTCGTTTCAAGATATCAAAACTTCAACAGTAACTTACTTGTTGTGGCTGTAAAGAAATTGAAGTGTCAGCTGAATAGATGTCTCTCCAGATAAAATTCCCTTAATCTTTGTCAACCTCTCAGCATATGTAGCATCAACTGGATCTGTCTCGTGCACAATTGTCTGAGCTGGAGTTTCATCCGCCATCTGAACATCCCCCGAAGGGTTCTCATTCGGAGCAGTAGTAGTTTCAACAGCCTGAGTTGCTTCTACAGGACGTGTTTTGGGAGCTGGAAGGCGATCTCTAACACTCAAGAGAAAGGCCTGGTGCTCGTTCTCTACAAGATCAAATGCAATTTGCAACGCCAGTAAAGCATCATCCTTGCTCTCCGAGCGAAGAAGCTTCTCCAAAATGCTTGCAACACCTTGCGGTTCATCCAAAAACATGAGGCATTGACAAATGCTCAAATAATCAGGAGAAGGCAGCTTCTGGTAGACTTTAACAAGTAAACTAAGCACCTGAAAGAATAGACAAGGATGTCATCACCTTCCAAATGAAGACTAAACTAAACAGCCTAGACTAAATACCTAGAAAAAGGAACTTTTTAATTCAGGCATTGACACGTCTCAGATAGGTATCACGAAAACTGAAACACGACTATCAGTTACAGCTTAGGACATAGAGGATGCTACATACATGAGATTGCAGGCATGGTACTGGACGATGCAACATAGAAACTAAATGATCACAATCTCTTCAGATGAGGCAAAACTATACTGTTCTAATCAATCAAGAGAATCAGAACATAAAATTTCTATTTAACCCAGGTCTGAGAACATCAGCCTCACCTCATGTCTATACTCTCTGCGGTTAACAAAGGAATGAGAAACATTGATGCAATATGATAAAGTTCCCTGAACATTATCGCTCTTAGTGATAGCCTCTTCCAACTTATCCAATCTCCGGCATTCTATCGCAATGCCCATGGCTTGTTGATACTTCCCATCACTGATGCATCTGCAGACGGAAAACAATGTAAGAACAATTGAAGCACTAAGAAGACAAGAGCATTAAATGCATAGGAATTCCGTACTTTCCAAGCATTCTTTCAACAATCGCCTCCAGCCTGGGATCAATGTCCACCATCTCATTTGACTCAACTGCCTTTGATCTGAGACTGGCATATTCATCTATTGCTTTGGCTGAAAATATAACAGAAGCATCTGATGAGTATGCATTCATCAAGCATTTATTAAAACTCAAATATATTATTCTACTTAAAAAGGATTAAAACAATATATCTGGATGTGCAAACTTCAAGTCTACTTTGAAGATAATAAGTCGTGCAAGCTATATATGCTTTTCTTGCATTGATTCAAGTAGATATGATAAGCATTTGCAATCAACAGTTACCCTAGCTAGAGTCTACAGACAGAGAACAGCATAAAGAGAGTAAAAAACATCAACAAACTTCTCAATCCTCACCTAGAAGCGTATGAACATAATCAGAATCCTCTGAAACATCAAATAAGGGCCCAGCTCCAAGGGCATAAGACAATGAATCATTAAGCTCGCCCAAGTAATAGAAAACCTGCATTAATACAACCAGGATCATCAAGAAAAACATATCTTATAATACAATCATATAAGGTGATAAAGAAAAGGTCCCACCCCAAACTTCTACCACTATCCACCAGCACTTAACGGGAAAAATAACCATAATGTGTTCAGAGTAACAATTACACACTCCTCCACTAACATATAGCAAATATTATCTGCAACTAGACACAACTTAAGTTTAACAAGCGTGAAATCGCACCTTAGAGACCAGCAAAGCAGCAAGCTGTCTTTGATGCAGATCGAATTCTTCATCTTCATATAAACTCTCACTGTAGAAAAAAAAAAATCTCTCGAGTCAAGCTATCAAGCAGTGCAAATCATTAAAGAGATCTAACAACTAAGAGTATCATATAACCTAAGCATTGCACCAGCACAGGTTCTACAACTTGAATCTATACCACTAGAATGTAAGATGACAAAGCAAAAGGAATCCAAGCCTTTACATTACATGAGCAAAAGAACATTACCATGTCCAGGAAAAAGTTAGATCTCTATGACAGAAAAACAACTATTTGCTAAATTCGGGTACCAATTCCTCATTCATAATCTACAAAGATCACTACAGAACTTGTTAAAACTAGTCATATCAAAGCAAAAACTTTCCTTTTCTTATGCTACCCATTAACTCTGCATTCCATGCCTCAACCAAAAAAAAATTGAAACTTTAATACCCAAATCGAGAAGACCTAAGCACAACGACAGCTCAGATAATCCAAATCCCACTATCTTCTCTCGAATTTTCCAGAAATCAAAACAGATCAAGTGAGAGAACAAAACCCTAAATCTCAAACCGGAAAAAGTGGGTGTAAAAGAGAATTACATGATGGGGACACTAGTGGAGATCTCAGGCCAGAATTGGTCAACCAAATTGTTGAGATAAGAGAGCGCATGAAGCTTCAAAGCAGGATGAGGCTCGTTGAGCATTGCTAGTAACCCTCCAGCCGAACTAACCATAGGTGTCGCCATTGATGAAGAACACTAAATCGAAATTGAAAAAACCCTAAGAGAAAGCAAATCAGATGACGAAAGATTCGAACTTTCGATGAGACCCGTCTTGAATCTCTCTACTGGATTTGAAAAAGAGTGTTTTTTGAGTTTATGGGACGAAAGTAAAAATAAAAGGAGGAGATTTGGGAGAAGAAAGTAGTCAGGGACTTGGATGCAAACTACGAATATTTAGAGACTTACCCAACAAGTCAGGATATTAAAATCTGCCCCTACTGTATAGCTTTATTACAATTTATAGTCTCAAGTTTTGGGTTATTGAGTTATGGATCCAATATATTTTGAAGATTTTCAAAAGGTCCATATTGCTTTTACAAAATTGGTTGGTCATACAAATACAATTTTAAGTTTAGGAGTTTCCAGACTATGCTAATTGCTAAATTATGAAATCATATCAATAAAATGTGTTGCAATTCAGAACAAAATACAAAACCTTACAAAGAACTATGTGAATAATTTTTTATGCTTTTACCATATTAGAACCCGTTCAATGAAAATGGTGATTTGAATCAAACAAAAAAAATTTAGCCAATTTATATTTATTATTTATCTTTTTAAAAAAAATATTAGTTTTAAATGTGTAAATTGTATTAAATATTTTCTAAATAACAATTTCTTAGTATTTAGTAAACCACGGAGTTGGAGTAAACGATTTACGGCGATCTCCTTCCTCTTTACACATCGTGAGCAAAATTCGTGTGCGGATTTATTGGCAAGGAACATTGTTTCAAATTCAAATCCGTGGCTTTTGTATCATTCATGCCCACATTTCCTTACTCAGTTTGTAAACAATGATATTTAAACAAGTTTAATAAAAGTTTCAGAAGGAAAAAAAAAAAAAAAAAACAATTTCTTAGTATTGGAAAAAGATTTGGAGTCCCTAAAAGTATAATTTATTCCTTTAAAAACAAATTTTGGTACTCGAAAGCAAAAAAAATGGTTGATCTTTTGTTTAGCCGCTTGTTTTTTGTTTTGGAAATCAGAGATAGGTAATATATTTTCCTCTTTGTCGCTGGTGTTCAAACTCGAAACTCTTAGACCTATTTTCTTCTATATGGTCGGAGTTCACCGATCAATCTACCCATTTTGAATAAGATAAACATTTTATATAATATAATATAAAATTGTAACATTTTATATACGCTCTAGAAAAGAAAAAGGAAAATTGTCCCAAATAAAAAAGGTCAGTTGGTATGAAGCAGCTCCAATTTATTTTTCTATTGTAGTTGTACTTGTATCTATCTACTAATATAAAACTAAATATGAGAAAAGAATTCTTATGTCCCATAATAGAATTTATTGCACATCATTCACCTACCGATCTTGAATGAAAAAGGCAGCAGAATTAGAGCACAACCGCAACATTTGCACTGCCCACCTACCCCATCCACCCAACCGGAAATAGCAACTACTACCAAACCAATGAACCCATCGGTTTAAAATTGATTCATATGTTTCCAACATCGGTTAGATGATACCAAAAAGCTAAAATACAGTAGAGCAGCGATTAGATACACACTATGTTAGAACAAAGTCACAATCAATTTTCACTAAACCGGTTTTCACACCTACCCAAACTTATAAACCGAATCCTGTGTGAACAAACCAAACTAAACCGGAATTCCAACGGATTCGTCAAATTGGTCTTAACTCAACAACTCTCTCTCTCACTCTTGTATAAAGTTTGTATAAAGTTTGTATAAAGTTTTTAGCTTTAAATCTCAGAGTCAGGTTTTGGTGGGTTAATTTTGGTAGACAAGAATCAAACATACAATGGGAGACGAAGCAAAGATCTTCACTCTTTCAGAAGTTTCAGAGCATAATCAAGCTCATGACTGTTGGATTGTCATCAATGGAAAGGTTCTTTCTTCTTTTCTCTTTATTCACACCTCTGAATTTAGAGATCTCGTGCTTAAAAATCCCCCCTTTTGATGTTTGCATGAGTTTAAGCTTTTGAAGTCTCAGATTTCTAAGTCTGAAGTTATCAGATCAAATCTTTAGATGGGTAGAGAGTGGAAAATGTTGTAGTTATTAAACATATGCTAAAGATTTAGCTATTTTGATCTATTTATCAAGTGAAAGATTTCTTATTTGAATTGAAGATGGAGAATTGTAGAAATAGTTCGTCTTGCTTTTAGAGTTGTACCAAACAAAAATGTTTGATTTCTTCTACATTGACCTCTCTTGGGATGGATTACTGACTCGTGTTGATCACTTGTTTGCCCTGAAGATCGATCATTTTCGTTTGTGATTATTAACTTGTGAAGGAATCTGTAGATACATTCTTGAGCCTCCCTTCATAGTGAAAACTTGTATCATGTTTTCTTCATTGATGGTTAATGAAATTAGTAGAATATCACAAGAAAGTTTGAAACTTTAAACCTTTCGGTGTATTTGTAACTTGAGAAGTTTCTGTTTCTGGTCATTCTGCCATTCGTGTGGGGGTTTCGCAGTTTACTTGGCGTATATATCTCTGAACATGGTTGCTGGTGGAGTATTTTGTTTCAAGTACCCATCTTTCTGTTACTTTTCAATTTCTATGCACATAAACACATGGCGACCACCATATCTTGTTTTACTCGAACGGGAGCAAGAACCTTAAGAACTTTTCTTTCTGTTGCTCCACTGCTTCTTTACTTACATTTGAATCATAGGCCTTAGAAGTGGATCTACTACCCATGTTTTAAACTTCTTGATTTGACAAGAAATCATCAAAGTTCAGAAATTCTATAACTTGGTTTCATTTTTGCCTATCCTAACTTCAAACATTTGCAAAATGCAGGTGTACAATGTGACCAAGTTTCTTGAAGACCATCCAGGTGGGGATGATGTTCTCTTGTCTTCAACAGGTCTGTATGAACACAACTAATCAACATGTTCTCCCTGCTTAAACGACAAATTCACTTAGTGGAGATCAATCCATATGTTTTTTTATCCTTCTTCTCTTTTCAGGCAAGGATGCAACGGATGATTTTGAGGACGTGGGTCACAGCGAGAGTGCAAGAGAAATGATGGAGCAATACTACGTAGGAGAGATTGATCCGACAACAATACCAAAGAAAGTCAAATACACACCTCCTAAACAACCTCACTACAATCAAGACAAGACCTCTGAATTCATAATCAAGATCCTCCAGTTCCTCGTACCCCTTGCCATACTCGGTTTAGCAGTCGGCATTCGCATTTACACCAAATCAGGGTAGGCTTCTTCTTTTTTTCTGAGCATTACTACCATATATCTTATATATAGAGAGAAAGATTTAAGTCTTTTGAAAAGACAAATCTCAAAGTCTCTCCCTTTGTTCTTGTCTCTGTTCCCATATTTTGTTGTTTGAATGTGTTTTGGACAATTTCTTATCTATTGTGGTGTAACTGCATATGAACAACAGTCTTGTTGGTGGTTTTGCCTTGAGCAACTAATGACATCACAGTTATGACTAATAATAAGTGATCTGTTTTGAAAGTCTGGTTTAGTATTGTTTGAGATCATACAAGCTTTTCTTCTCTTGTAATGATGAATCTGTGTAGAAGAATAGTAACCAAGAAACTATCAAGACAAGGCCATGATGGTACTAATTGAATGCTTTAAGAGAACACTCAATTAACTTTGCAAAAGAGGAGAAACAAAGACAACAGATTACGAATTCCAAAGAGAAAGAGACGTTTTTTTTTGGCAGTTACTTGATAGAGTGTGTGGCAGTTAGTGACTTGAGCTCACTAAAACATATCCCAACATGAAGAATCCAAAAACTCTTCTGCAACTGTAGGACCCTCTTTTTGTACCTCTTTACCGCTTTGGCCGCAAGAAGTCGCAACCGCAGACACAAAGTTCGATACTTTGTAACTTGGAGAGCAATAAATTTCATTTAAGCAAAGATTGGAATGGATTCTGTGGCAAGTTGACTACTATGGACTGTTTCAAAACGATGTCGTGTGTAGACTCAAATCAATACAATCAGAAAACGAATCTTGTGCCAAGCAAAGACGCGACGAAGTTTTGATGATTGATCAAAAGACGATCACCATAATGATGATGATGATGATATGTAGTGGGCACGAATTACATATTTAAGATAATATAGTGGGCACATATCACAAAGTGGAAAGTACAATGGACTCACACAAGAGAAAGAGAAAGAGAATCTTTTTCTAACACTTTTGATTTTAGTGAGAAGACAGAGACAAAACAAAGACCACTATGAGACACTATCCATATCCATAACGAACAGCGTCTCTGTCTCTCTATTATCAGTATACATTTGTGTATATATAGATATGTATTACCTACCTGTCATTGTGATGTTATATGTCTGAAGAACACAACACATGGACCATCATGATGATGATGATAAGAACAAGAACTTAAGATGAAGTAAGAGAACAAAAGAGAGAAGGATAAGTCTTTATTGCAAAGAGTTTGAGATCAGTACATGTATACACATAAAAGGATAGATTTTAAAATGGTTACAGGACAAAGAGTTATAAGAGAATGCAGAGCCCCCCTGTACCGGATTTTACGAAAGAAAACACTGACCATTAAACCGAAAGAACTCTAAACCCTAAACAGACTTTGGGTTACTTCTAAAAACCTCCTCTTATGGCTTTAGTACTACTACTAAGGTGATCTGTTTAGGCTTAAAAAGGGTTGGTATCAAGTTCTGTTACACAAACCCTTTTCAGCCACTTATGTTACAGACACCAATTTAAAAACACTACATGGGTTTTTCTCCTAAGCTCTTTACATGTTGAAAAAGTTAAGAAAACGGATGATGGTAATAAGATCAAACCGATAATTAGCAGGAAAATGTTAATATATTCTGTATTAACTATTAACCCCCCATTTTTGTTGTTTCTAATCATCTACCTTCGTCCATTCAAACCGTCCTGGTAGTGGTTGTTCGTTCACAGGATCAAAGTTGTACCTGAAAAAAAGAGTTGACAGAAACCATTAGAGACGCACAAAACCAAAAGACTTTACTTACTGCAGAACAGAACAGATCAAAGTGGAAACTCATAACCAAAAGGAATAGTTACTGCAGAACAGAACAGATCAAATGAAGGAAACTCATACTTCTCAATGAATTGTTTCTGTTGTTCTTCTTCAGCACCCGAGAAAAACTCGTCCATTTCAGGTGTAGTTGGTAGGCGACGATGGCTGCGAGACAAACTCTCTTCTCTCTGGTTGCTTTCACTTACACAAATGTTAAGCTTTGTAGACGATCCCGGGGTTGTGATGATTTCAGGCCTTCTTATCAAACTGCATGGTGTGGATTCCCTTGTGGTCCTAATGAAGCAGAGAGTAAGTAATAGGTTACTTCCATTTCATAATGATCTCAAGGATAAAAGCACATAACTGTGTTTCCTTAATTAGAAGCAAAAGCAAGTAAACTTTATTGCATATAGTTAAGTAAAGCTGATCCAGTCATGTTTAACTGAAAAAGGACAAGGAGAAACTTCTAGTTGATTTGTGGTTCAAACATCACAAAGCATAAAACCAAAGAAGAAACTTCCAATGGATATTATTACTTCAGCAATGCTTGAAAAGCTGATGATTCATATTATATTCAACAAGATCTCGACATTAGATTGAAAACTTAACATCATCAAAAACAACCAAACAGCAAGAAAATCTAAAAAGACATGGAAACTAAACAAACACAAAGAACTTAAGAATGCATTATATACTTTGCACAATCCCAAAAACTAACCAAGATATAAAGCTTTAAAGAGTTACTTACAGAGACATTTCATACACAAATCCAACATTCTTTACATGAAAGCAGATAAAAAGTCTGAAGAAAAAACAATTGTCACTATCACCTTCTTCAAAGTGATTGAAGAAGAGTAGAAAAAAAAAACTTTCTCAAGAAAAAAGAAACACATTTTCGATTAATAAATATATTTTCTTTCCCGGAAACAGAGAGAAGAGTCTGGTGTTGTCAGATAAAGAAAAGATGGCATCATATCATACAGATGGTAAAAAAATCATTAAATTTCAAATCGAAAAAAAAAACTAATAATCGAAAACGCCAGTTTCAATTTTAACAAAATACCAGAAAAATTGATCCTTTTTCAAAATATCAGCGGCAAAATTCAAATCCAAAACCAAATTTTTCTCAAGAAACCCAACAAATATGAAATCCCCCAAAAAAATAGGTTAAAAATTGGGGGGAAATTGAGGAATAAGGATAATAAAAATGATACCTTTGAGTGGGTTCTTCTTCTTCAAGCTCGAAGAAATTTTGCCCAAAGGAAGGATCTTTGTTGATTTCACAAACCAATTCCTTATCTTTACCAAAGACAACACTCTCAGAAACCGAATCAGACCTAGACCCATCACCACAAATCGACCCACGAATCGAATCCAAATTAGAACTAGGGTTAGGGTTTCTCCCGCATGTCTCTTTCCTTTGTTGCTGATTCCTCCGTTTAGTAGAACGAATCACAACAATTGGAGGTTTCTTCTGAAGACGACGACTCCGCAGCTGAAGATACGAACCACAATCGTTCATCTGCTGCTTCTTCTTATTCTTCTGTTTCGACGGTGGATTAGGAGAAGGAGAAGTCGGTGGTAACGAAGAAGAAGAGGGTTTTTGAAGAAGACGGCGTTGTTGTTGTTGTTGGAGAGCTAGAGATTTAGCTCGAGTTAAAACACCAAGTGAAGAAGAAGAAGAAGGTGAAACAACATCCATTAAAGCTATAGAGGATTCACCACCTCCATCGATTTTGCTCTTTCTTATGTATTTCCCCATTTTCCGACGCTTTTCATCAGAGAGAAAGAAAGAGAGATTGGGAGGTGTGAGAGAAAAATCGGAGTTAGGGTTGAGAAGATTAGTGCTCTCTGTGGGGTCTCTCTCTCTTTTTTATTTCTTCTTTTTTTTTATTTATAAAAAATGTTTTATTATTTTTTCAGGTGGCTGCTTCTTCACTACTGTGAGTAATGTACACTGTACTTTGCTATTTTTTTACTTTTAGTTTTTTTTTTTAATATTTAGAACTCGAGTGTAATAATTTCGATATTTATAAATAGAAATGATCAAATGATGACGTATATTTTTATTTATAAATTATATTTTTTTCCTCATTTATAAATTATATTAAATATTAATAAAATGATTTTTTTTTGTAAAAGAAAAAATTGAGTTAGTTGGGTTCAAATATGAAATATGTGTCACAACGTTAGGAAAGAGTGAACGGTTACGCAACCTGAATTAATTCGAGGATCGTAATTGTTATATTTTTGTGTATTTTACTTACCTTAGGAAAAAATGTTTTAAATCTAGTTGAAGTAGAGATTGGACGAATTTGGAATGTCAACTTCTACTTCTACTAGACTTACGAAGTTTGACAAAGTTATTAATTGTTTTCTGCGAATTGAGGGCATGGATAATGTAGCATAAGATATACTACTACTAGCCTTTGTAGGCATACCAAATTAATGAGTTTAAATGACTCCTAGATTAGATTTATAACAAGAGTTGGATGATTATCAAAGTTTAAGCAGTTTTGAGAATATGAAAGGATTAGGATTATTTTATATCTTATACTACTATTGTATAAAGGTTGATTAGGTATTATTGATTGAGAAACTAAAGATAAAATTAAATTAATGTTTCATTCAACCACTCAACTGTTACAAAAACGCAAAAACAAATAAGTTCATGTTTAAGAAAAAAGTACATTTATTTTACTTCCTTTTAGTTTTTCAAGTTAGACGTGTTTGTAAATTGTAAACCAACACAAACGTAATCGTGCTTTTCACTTCTCCTTATGTTTCACATTTCCGTTAACATTTTTTTAAGAAAATTATTTATTTATAACATCGAGTTTTCCCTAAATGTATATCACAATATTTCAATATGTTACAAGTTCAATGTGCATGTTTAGAGTTTTGTATTCATTATCTTAAACCAACTTAATGTATGTTAGTGTCAACTAAAAAAAAAAAAAAATGTTAGTGTCAACTGTCATCATAAGATATTCGTAGAGAGACCTAAAAAATAAGCGTTTGGTAGATCATAAAAAATTATTCAACAATTAAGTTGTTCTAGAGAAATTACTTACACATCTCTCTTTCACGCTAAACACTAGAGACCACAACAACAAAGGAAAGACAAACCCCAAAGAAGTAGGATCATAGAACAAAGATTGGAATTATCACAAGTCCCTTTGCTTTTGACATAAACAAGCCCATTAAAAAGAACAAAACCAACTTATTGATGCAAAACATTTTAAACAAAGAATTAGACTCAAAAAAAGTCCTGAGCTCTCTCTGCTATTTCCTCCTTTTTCTTTTCTTTTTAGAAGAACATATAAATATTTCTACTTCCAAATCTTTACGGATTTGTCATGACTTGCAGATGCTACCACTCCTGTAGAAGGCGACTGAGCCAAGGCAGAGATCACACACTCGTGACCCGCTATCGTCATACATTTGTTCTCCATTGTGTTCCACAGCTCTATTGACTGTCACAGATTCGTTTACCAAAGTTAAAACAACTGACAGACCCATTCATCTCATAACACAAGTGAACATAGACCAGATATTGTTCGACACATCGGTTCTCAGATTGTAAATTTATTTGCTTGAGACATGGGGATATAGATTATACCTGGTAGCCACCGATGACCAAGAGATCGGGATAGCTAGGGTGGAAAACACAAGAGTGGAACTTGTTTCCACTGTTGCTAAGCTCGTGGACGCACTCTCCTGAACTCAGTGACCATAAATTTACAGCGTCTTCACTAACAGAAGCTACCAACTCTCCGTTTGGGCTCCAACAAACAGAATGTACATTTGAGGAATGTCCCTGCCAGATCAAAGTAAATAAAGCCATGAGACACCATTTTTTCTTTCGATGGATGGGTGTATGAGTAACGATGAACACTTATGACATCTAAACATATGCCCAAATGCATCTAACAAGAAAATACACAGGACTTGGAAGATTCAAAGTATTAAAAGTAGAAAACAAAGCTTTTAGTCTTTTATGTGGATTGACCCGGGGGATTCAAAAATATCAAAATATCATCTTCAGCTCTACCTTAAAAATGTGGACCCGTTTGTTATTATTTTCAATATCAAAAATTGACACAGTGTTTTCCGACGCTGCAGCTAACAACTGTCCTGTTCTTGGCTGGAACCGTACTTGCGTGCTAGCCCCCTGTGCTTGGAAAATTCTAAGATTAGCAAACAGGGTTCAATTCCCAGAGAAACCATACAAAAGGTCAGGGGCTTGCCTTTACAGCACGAACGCAAGAAGCGTTTATGTCCCAAAAGCGAATATCATTGTTGCTATCACAAGAGCATAAAAGCTCGGTTTTCTTAGGATGAAAATCAAGGGACATAACAGGTGCAGAATGACCAGTAATTGTTCGTAGGAAGTAACCAGGCTGCACAAATTGGTAGTAGTTAGTCACAGCAGAACACGAAAAAATGGCAACAAAATAAAAGAGACACTAATTAGTATACATCAGAAGCATCCCAGATTTTGATCGTTTTGTCGAATGATGACGTTGCCAGTTGGGTTGAATTAGGTCTGAAGCGAACATCTGTGATGATATGAGCATGTTCTTCCGGAGTGCTCTCAACTTGTAGTGTTTCCATGTTCCATATAAAAACCTACTGACAAAAAGAAATTTGCATCCACATTATCTGTTTTTAAACAAACAAAAAACCTACCTACCTATAAATGATCTATAGATGTTTTAGGGTCATGACAAGTTTATAAGCAAACCGTATCTCAGAAATTAAGAAGTTGCACCTTCTTATCATGTCCAGCGCTAGCCAACAACTTCCCATCAGATGAGAAGTTACAGCAAATGACCTTACTCGCACTTTTTCTTATAGAACTAACCTCATTGAAACTGAAAGCTGAAACGAGAAAAAGGAATGTGTTAGTATATATCGTCTACTAGTAGCATGTTTATCCTTGGGGGTATTAGAATACCCTTTGAGGTTTCGGTATGCTCAGAAGGGTTCCGCTTTAGGGTGCCAAACAAGCTTCCTCCATCTCCATCATCTTGGGACAAAAATGATTCTACATTATCTTCTAGGGCTCCCACATCTCCAAACCGTTCCATGTCATCCTGCAGCTATTAATTCTTGTCATAAGAAAGCTGAAAGAAACACGGCCCCATGGAATATGAAAAAAATACTAAAGCTGCTAAGAAAGCACTTCCTTTCACAGAACACAACTGCATGCTGTATCCAGATGTTATTGGACGAAAACTAGATTGTCGTTATCATTCTTCTGAGAAATTAAGAAACATACCAGTTGATTTGCTGATGATGCAAGACCACCGATCCCATCAGAACCATACATCATTGGTCCTTTTGGCATGCTATTCACATGGTGCATGTTACCAGCTATAGCAACTCCATCAACAGGGGTATGTGTTGATGGAGTCGATGGCTGTGAGTTGGATGGGCCAACAGTGTTTCCCGTCCCTGTACTGTTAGCAGGACCAGAAGAGGAAGGCCCTTTTCTTTTGCGGTTGTTCTATCAAAGACACGAAAAGGAAGTTGTGGCTCAATCGACACTAAAGAATATATTAAGTTAGTTCAAACCACATGATTGATAAGACTTGTGGGATTGGATCCACATAAAAGTACCTGTTGTGATTGCTGGGATAGTAAGTTATCTTGTTGCTGAGAAGAAGATTGCTGTACTGGCGGCATGCTGATATGCTATAGACCAACAAGCAACGGTAAAAGAGAAAATCAGAGGAAAAAAAATGTGATTGACAAAATTTTAGCAGTAAAGTCCCCACGTTTAGCAGTAATCAGCAATTAATTGCAGATAAGTTTTCTCGAATATTGGGAGCATGTGGTTAACAAGAAGAAACAAAATTCTGATCCCTATGTAGATCTATATTAGGATAACACAAACACATTACCTTACAGATTTTTCAAAGGAAAAGTATAGCAGTCGCACGATAACCCAAAAGAGTAACAATTTAAAGCATATCATAGACGAGTAATTATCAGAAAAAATGCATACAAGGACAGACGTAATGATCCAATTACACCACCTAACAGAACACAGAAAAAATGAGATGCTTAATGTGGAAAGTTGTCTCTGCTACCCGAAAAAGATGATAGAATGCAGCTCAACAGATGCCACTGCATTCAACAGGGATATGCATTTTTTGGTAATTTGAGAAAAAGTCTTACCTTTGACGAACTTGACTGCATTGGGGACCCTATAGATCCATCATTTGCATTTTGTTGGCCATCTTTCGGATTAAGGTTTCCTCTAGGTAATCCTGTAAATCTTCGAGGGTCCATGTCACCACCATACATGGGTGAATTAGTCATATTTCCTTGCGCTTGAACCTGAGCCAAGATCTGTTGTTGGTGGTGCTGCGGCGAGAGCTGAAATTGACTTTGATTTTGTAGAAAAGATTTCTGAACCTGAGGGCCTCCTAAACCTGGTCGGATTTGCTCAATGCCCTGTAACATTTGTCAAGAAACTTAGCAAAAAACTGGGCTTAGAATGACAAACAAATAAATTCTGTGAAGAATCACAGAGACTTACAGTTAATGGCCATCCCTTTAGAGGAAGACCACTCACTCCAGGGTTTAATCCTTCACAAGGGAAAAATACAACACCATAAGAATTGATACAAATTGTAAACAAACGGTTCTCGTGAGGCCATTAGCATATCACCATGATTTTTCACATAACAAGAAAGTAATATGTTAATTTTGGAGTCTGTAGTCAACTAATTGCCATTGAAGGCATGCTACCAGGTATTTACCACCATTTTCTTTTTGGTGAGCGTTTAATCTAGTATGCATTACATTGGATATATTTACCTGCACCCCCCATCCCAGGCTTTGATTGCAGAATTCCCTGGCCATAAACTGTAGAAGGATCCACTGGCAGTTGTCTTGGAGATGTACCCATATTAACTTCAGTTTTGATTTCCTGCACGTACAAGAGATTCAGATGTACACCAAAACATCTGATTGGAGACTTGTCTGTTAGAAGATTTTCATAAAGTAAGGTGATCGAGTAGTAGTTACAGTGGGCTGCTGAGTTCGTGATTGAATTTGCTGCAGCGCTGCCGAAACACCTCCTTGATGGTTTCCCTGGACAATCTGACTGTTTAGGGACAGAAAAAAAGACAGGACGATAAGGGGTCAGAGGTATGAGGACTTGGAAAACGACTGCAAGAAAATTGAAGCAGAACCAATTTACCCATGATGGTTTGTTGCTGATTTAAGAAGGGCCATCCTTGCATCCAGATGAGGTTGGGATGTCTCAGGATTCATAGGATTTGGCTGCTTCATACGTTCCTCGTACATTTTAGCAGCCAAAGCACTAGCATTGGACTGGCCAATCATCCCTTCAGAACCACCAATAGCATTCATTGGACCACCAAGAGAAGGATGATTAGGGTCCCTACGCTGCATTTGAGCTTGGCGCATCATCTGCAGTTGCTGTATTTGCATTTGCTGCTCCTTGGCTTTACCTTGTTGTGCCTAAAATTTCAAAACCACTGGTCAGTAACTAAAGCGAAAACTAAAAAGAAAAAACATAACTCCCGTTGGTAGTAGAAAGCCACCTCTATATAAGCTGCAGCAGCCTCTGAATGCTTCTCATTCGTCCTTGCAATGAAAATGTCCCAAAACACAGACCACCACTCAAAAAGAAACCCTCCAGGTGCATCAATTGCTACATCATTCACACAACAACAAACATTCACTTAGCCTAGATTGACATAACAAAGAAACAATTACATAACAAATAACCTAAAATTAAGTAAGTAAAAAATCGAACAAAGTATTACCAACTGGATCAGGTGAAACCTTCCCTTCAGTCATAAAGGACTTAGCAGTATTATGAAGTTTCTTCTTCACCAAATAATCATATATGTAAACATCAAGCCTACAAAGACACCAAAAAGATCAAAGTAAGAAAAAATAAAAAAACATAAATCTGAGAATTGAGAAAAGAATCACATACATCTTGTCAGCTTCCCAATTACTCTGCGCCATAGCTTCAGCACAAGATCGAGCTGCTATAAAAAAAGGAATTCAAAAGCGAATCAAATCTTCAATCCAAAAAATGATTCGAATTCAGAATTTTTCGATTGTTTTAATAAACAAACAAACCTGAATAAAGCCAAAACAAATCAAAGTGATTCCAAATAGATCAGAACCCTAATTCGATCTTCAAATTCCAGTATCTTTAAAGATCAAGCATTGCTGCTACACATACATAGAGATTATAAAGAAATCGACGAGGTTAGTTAACGAGAACACGACTTTGGGGGAATTCATCGAATGAATAAAGAAAGTAATCGAATTCACATACCTGACGGATCACAATTAGAAAAAGAATTCTAGGGTTCTTGAGAGATTACAGTGAATTGTATTCAGCTGTAACTTAGAGTAAATCGATCATGAAACAGCTGGAAGAGAGAGAGAGAGAGAGAGATTGAGTTTGGAGAGATCAATCAGATGTTTGGTTTGATGCTTTTTGGGTAAAAGCTTTTAGGATTCGATGGTAAAGTTTATTAATGGGCTTCGATTTTTTTACCTAATTATGGGCTTATTGTTGGGCCTGTGATTGACTTTCAATCTAAGTCAACTCCAAGGTAGGCAGAAAGTTTTCTTAAATCTTTATGTTTGAAACCGTCAATGTAGGTAGAAGTTAAAGAAGGATAGATACTCGAAATTTATGTAACATTTAATAAATTGCAATTGCATCTTTTTGAGTTTTATTACTTGATGAGAAGAGGTACAAAACAAAACATGTATGGAGTGAATAGAATAATACTTTAGTTTACAAAAATAAGTATATCAGACAAAATAGTTTGAAACAGTTTAGAGCAAGTCTCGAGCTTGGTATACTAATGAGGCGATTATTGTAAGATCGCAAACTATGACAAGACAAATGGTCCATATATACTCTATATAGCTAGACTCAATAATATATACATTATTCTGCTGTATTTAATCTTCTAGTTATAGACTTATAGCTATATAAGAAGCTCCATTATATATGTACGTACATACATATTTTATTGGTTTTGATTATTTTCACTTTTTTAGTAGGTGCCGCTATCTTAGCTTGTACCGCTACATCTTATCGTTTATAACATTTTTGTACCGTTACAAAATTATACCGGTTTGTGTGACTAGTCAGACTCATTATTTAGTTGTACATTAAGAAGTTTAACTCGAAAACTTGCACAAAATACTGGATAAATCTTTGTATTTTGTGGTGCAATATATATGAACTTATAAAACGATCAATTGCATATGTCTTATGAAAATAATTAGACTTCTAAAAAGAAACGTAAACACGAACTAAATCCTTTTAACTAGTGGTCTTTAACCAAAAGATTGCATATTAATCTCAATAGAACCAATTCAAATTTTTACAAAACAATATATAAGATATATAGTCATTTGGAACTAATTTGAACTCTTTTTACTACATTATAATTAGAAATGAACAATCCAAAATCCATAAGTGTTTTCAAGTATTGAACTTATTTCTTAAATTTCTGAAAACCCAAATTAAACAATTTTAATCGTGTTAAGCCTTTTCTAAAAATCCACTAAGTTGACTTTAACATTTAAGTCCCAACCATTATTCTAACAACAAACAATCCAAATTTTAAATAAAAGATTAGATTCACAGCTCAAACCAGTCAACCTCAAACTTTATTAATCTAAAAATATGTAGGTGATGCATGTATATATAAGCCTATCTGTTTTTCTTTGATTGTTAGTTTGGAAAATGAAAGGTTTAATATGTGTTTGGTTTGAGCCATTAATGGCACAATAAATGAGATCACTTCTTTTTCACTAAATGAGATCACATTTAGGGGCTTGAATAATGCAAAAGAGCCCTTATTATTAATGGCTTTGTAGTAGAGCATGTCCTTCAGCTATAAAAGGAAAATACAGCAACCACGATTATCAATTTTTTGTTTTTTTGATAACGACACAATTTGCTCATTTAGTAAGACGTCTTTTCATAGCAAAAAAAAAAAAAGACGTCTTTTTAAAAATACACTAAAAGAGAAATACATTGTTCTTTTTTGCTATAATTAACTCTATGGAAGGTTGATTTATGAGGGATCATATACCATGGTGAAACTGATGATTGCATTCTATGAATATGAGTCTAGATTTCAGGACATGGACCAATTATTTGACAACGTATATATATATATTCATTGTTAAGATGAGCAAACAATTATTATTTTTTGTGTGTAAAACTGAGCAAACAATTATTAAACAATGTACATATATTAATCAATTTCAGGTTTTTTTCACCATCAACCACTAGAATCGTTTCCGCAAATTTTTAAATCGGACATAAGATATACAACTCACTTTTTGTGCATATATATAGATATATATATATATATACATAGATATTATTAAAGTGATCAAATGTACATTGATTTCATTTTATTGTTATGTTGGATGAGATCAACTGGGCAGTTGGCAGACATAAATAAATTGTCCAATGACAGGTGAACCTCATTTAATTTTTCGCTTTCTTACGAGTTATTACGTCCGGTTAAATCGATACCGGTTGCCCACTTTTCCTCACGGTTATAACTAAACCAAGCATTGCAACTCTGCATGCATAAACGTTTATTGACATTAATCCACATCCAAAACATTCGTTACGATCAAATCTTTAAATAATTAGACTACATAAGCACAATTTGTCAGTTTGAAAAGTAGTAGCTAGATGGATTATGGAGAGAAACTAACTAAACCAGAGTTGATAAGAAACCTAAAAAATAAAAGAAGCAAAACCGGTTATGTATGTAGGTACTCACGAGTGGACGATATGTCTATATATACAGGTCAAGAGTAAGCTTCACTGACACAACTGTCTTCGATCTCTCTTTCATATCCATCATATAAAACTCGAACCAGTTAATTATGGGTTTAATTTCCGGGAAGGTGTGTTTGTTTATCTTTGTATTCGCTCTAGTCGCCGAATTTGCGTTCGGAAATGTTGAGGTTAACGACGACAAACACTTTTTCCACAAACCACGTCCATTCTTGCACAAACCTCGTCCTTTCTTACACAAACATGGCATTTACAAGAAGGGTTTTGGTAAGGGTTTGGGCGGCGGAGGCGGTCTAGGCGGCGGAGGTGGTCTAGGAGGCGGTGGAGGTCTAGGAGGCGGTGGAGGTTTAGGCGGTGGTGGCGGTCTAGGAGGCGGTAGTGGTTTGGGAGGAGGAGGGGGTCTAGGAGGCGGTAGCGGTTTGGGAGGAGGAGGGGGTCTAGGAGGCGGTAGCGGTTTGGGAGGAGGAGGGGGTCTAGGCGGAGGTGGTGGTGGTGGTTTGGGAGGAGGAGGCGGATTGGGCGGTGGAGCTGGAGGAGGATATGGTGGTGGTGCTGGAGGAGGACTTGGAGGCGGTGGTGGTGTTGGAGGAGGAGGAGGATTTGGTGGTGGCGGCGGAGGAGGATTCGGGGGTGGAGCCGGTGGTGGATTTGGTAAAGGCATTGGTGGTGGAGGAGGTTTCGGTGGTGGTGGTCATCACTGATGAGGCTCATGCTCATGCAATTCGTAACGCTGTTATATTATTTAATTAAATGAAATATGAGAATTAATTATTACAATAAAATGATACATTAGCAATTGTGTATGTCGTTATTTTTATTTTGAGTTGCATTGTATGATGATTCCATATGTTGTGCTTTGGTTGGTTTCAAGTTTGGTTAATAAAATGGTTATTTTACTTTTTGTGAACAGCTATCGAGTGGTTTGTTTTATGTTTTATATACATCTTTACTCATCTTTCTAATACATAATCTTACAAGACTTGTTAAAGTGAAATTAATTAGCTAAATTTTATGAGTAGATAATATGGTAAATAATTAGTAAAGTAAAATGGCATTTATGTATCTTTTAGAGATTTTTAAAACACTAAACTTAATATGTATCGTGATTGATAGTGAGTGACTATAAAACTTTGTACTAATCTGTAAGTTCAAAAAGTATTACATGAATATGTCTTATCCCAAATTCAGTCTCTACAATTGCAAAACTTTTGAGACAGACAGAAAACTCCTGTATCACATAAAAATTCAATAACTTATAACTGAAAAGTTATGAGTATCTTCATAAGTTATAGACATACTTTATAGTACTCTAGCTAAATTCATATATAGAAGCAATCTCCACTAAGAGCATGATTATAGGTGGTCTCTTAGAAATTAATCTTAGCAATATTTAAGTAATTTATTTGTTAAAGTGATTGTTAAGAGATAGTATTTTTGAGTTAAGATTTTTGTGTGATTAATGGTAGACTCTTAACATGTGGTTCTTAGAAAAATAAATATTAATATAAAAATAAAATTTATAATTATAAAAAATTTAATAATTGTTGCAAATTAAAAAAATTAAAACATACATGAGATACAATTTATAACATAAATAAAATAAAGCACAAATGTTTTAAACTTAAATTCTGGAATATTTTGTCCATATATGGACTCTTTTTTCCTCGGTTTTGTGGCTTGTTGACGATCACCGTAAGAGTACAAAGAATTATCCAATTCTTGCTCGAAAATATTATTAAATTCTTCGTCCAACGATTCATCGAAATTATCATCGGAAGATGATGCCATTTTCTTAATTGGATTTTTTTGTTTGAAGTAGAATTTTTTAGGATTATTTTTAGTAAAAAAAAAAGAACAAGGCTTGGATTTGGTATGAGAAGAAGAAATTGGTGTGAAAAAAATATGAACGCTTGGACAAAGGCTTGTTTAAAGATTGTAAGAACAAGAGAAAGAGAGTTTTGTATTTGGATTTTTTGACCTTCTTTGGACTCTGAAACAAGGAAGGTTGGGCACATTATATAGCGCATATAACAAGATCAAGATGTAAACATATTAAACGAAATGGAGTAGATCATCTGAAAAGTAAAACTGTTCTAGACATCTGCTTTATAAACTTAAGGACAACCCGTGACAAAAAAAAAAAAAAAAAAAAAAAAAAAAAAAAAAAAAAAAAAAACTTAAGGACAACCTGAACTTTCTGACTCTTTCCCTACAAAAGCAAATAACGTCAACTAAATCAATTTTGGGACGATTGGCGCAGAGACAAAAATGGAGAGTGTAATTAGGGAATCGACAAAAGTCGATTTTGTCGGAGACAAACAAAAAAATAACGCTCCAAATAACCTTCATTTCCAAAAGAATTACAGAAAAACCTGTTGATTTTTTTTACATGCGCGTGTGATGATGCTTTGACTTTTAGGAGAGAGAAAGACTGAACTGACAAACATTAAATGCTCAGCACGTGAACTGATGCTAACCAAACTAACAATAATTGTTGTTTTTTCGAATTGGAGCAATTTTAACACGCTACAAACATATATTCCACCATTTTAACATTTGTACACATGTAACTACATAAATAGAGCGTTAAAAATAATTATAGTTTTAAATTATTAGATTTATGTATTCATGTAAATACGTACATATATATCGTTATTAACATTTGTATATATGTAAACACGTACATGGAGCGTTATTACATTTTTATACATATAAACATGTAGATAGAAGGTTATTTAACATTTGTATACATCTAAACACGTAGATAGAACGTCATTAACATTTGTATACATAAATCTACTTAGTTTTTTGGACATCCAACACCTATTGATGTGTTTGTTTTGATATTGAGACGTAAGTCGTTTGTCTGACGTAATGGACCATCTCTTGCAAAACATTTTAAGCGAGTAGGGTTAGTTTTGGGAGAATAATGGGCTAATGTTGTTTTTGTTATGGACTCCGACAAGAAAAAATGAAAAACTAATTAGACCCCAAAACCTTTGTCTTTTGGCCAATTATCTCATCAATTTTTGACCTCAATTAACATAAGTACTAGAGAGATAGAAACAAAACCTACCAACAATTCCAAGACCATATTCAGAAATCTTGTCGGCAAATATATAGTTAAGCACACAATTACGAAGCGAACACGTGATTTGGGAATAAACCTCAGGACTAATTCTCATTTATGGTTTCAAGACAAATAATAAGAACACGAGTGTGTGGTTTGTGTTTGTCTATGTGTGTGTGTCCTACTCTTATTTTGTCCCAGCAAAAAAAAACCTCAATAGATCATCAAGAACTAATCTAGCTTTAAAAACATATGATATCTTCTCAATACTCTATATCAACGCTTCATTTCCAGCAGAAAGTTCCAAATAGATCATCAAGAAGAAGTGCCAAGATATGTACTACAAATTCTACATTAATCTAGCTGCCAATTCAACCATAAATACCAAATTATATCGATCACTGGATAAATCCCTGACGAGTAAATCCAATAGATCATCAAGAACTATGCTAATCTAGCTGCCAACTCAAGCAAACAAGACCAAAACTGCCATACTTGATGAGTAAACCTTCGATTGGGACTTCCAACAACCTACACAACTCGAAATCGCCGAGACGTATTGGATAGATTTTGCCATCGGAGACTTCGATGAATTGATGAAATTGGTGAATAAACCCCTCCGATTTGTCTCCGATTGATTCCGATTTGAGAGAAATCTATTCCCTTTGTGCAATCGGAGAGAAACGAAAATGAGAGAAAGAGTCGACGAAGAGAGAGAAAGACAGAGACATTTTTCCCTTTCATAAAAAAAACCTTCACCCAACGTTGAATGACACCTGTCTGCCTCTTAGGTTAATAAACGTTCCTTAGTTAAGGAACGTTTGTTAAGATAAACACTCATTTCTCATTTAATTTTAATTCTTTATTTCCTAAGATTTGTATTAAGAGACCACCGTTAAAGGTGCTCTAACAATGTAGCTAAAAGATTTAGTCTCCCCTTAATATATCATTGCATAAAGGCCTATCGACTATGGGCCATAGAACTCAGCCCAGAAAAGCTACTAAGCTTAATTCAACAACACAAAAGCTCCAATTGTCCTCGAAAGTCACCGAAGCAGAAGAACTCTCTCCCTTACTAACGTCACGCGTGTAGGGTCAAATATCAATTTGGTTAAATTATGCCCTCGAAGTTGTGGCTTAACTCACCCTGTTATGTAACGTTGTAAATGTAAGTGTGCTCATGATTCTCCAATAGAAAAGTTTTTCATTAATTCAATGAGAAAATCTGAAACAATTAATCATCTTCTCGATCATATTCTTTGTTTGATTTCTCTGCTTTTAACATTCCTTTCGTCGACATTTTAGATCTATCTTTACCGATCTTTTGTTAACTAAAACCATATAATAACGTAACGTCTTTTGTTAACTAAAACCATATAATAACGTAACGTGACCACTTTGCCACGTCACAAACTCTGAAGTTTAAATAATACGCAAACAAATCAAAACAATGCCAATATTATTCTTCTTTGTAAAGCACCTAGAGTTTCAAACGTCTCAAGTACATAAATTAACGAACGTATCCAATGTGTTTGTTGTTATTGTTAATTTTATTTTGAGTAATTTTTAACCCATTTGAGAAATATCAAACTCATGTGATTCCAAACCCAAATGTTATACGTTAACATTTTTAACTAACGTGGATTTCACTTAGCTACTTATCCATATTTTTCTTCAAGCCCGAATACAAAGACTTCACGTGACTTTCACTTCTTCTAAGTCAAGTTGTGCTCCAAAAAAAAAAAAAAAAAAAAAAAAAGTTGTGCTCTAAAGCAAAACCACATATCATTTGTTTATAATAATCTTCTCTCAAATTTTTTCTTAAACCAAAATCATTCTTCTTAACAAGAATTCATGTCGACCATGTCGGAATCGCTTATGCGTTTGCTTTTTCTCTCGCTACTCTTACTGTGCATGTGTCTCGCCTTCAAGCTTCTTCACTTTCAATCATCTGTTTTATCTTATATATACCTTGATCAGATTTATGTATATAATGTCAATAAAATGATCATACAAAGACTAGTTAAAATGAAATTAGCTATTTTTTATGAGTAGAAAATATGGTAAATAATAAGTTAAATAAAATGGTATTTAGTTACTTATAGAAACATTCAAAACATTAAACTTAAATATGTACCGTGATTGATATTGGTGACTATAAAACTTAATTTGTATTTGATATAACTAAGCTCAAAAAAGTATTAGATGAATATGCCTCAGTCTTATCCAAACTCCAAACTCTACAATTGAAACACTTAGGAGACAAACTCTTGTATCACATAAAAGTAAAATCCTCTATCTTTAAAACTTAAATTTTTTATAAATAAAAAGCTTAAAACGTTCTGTGTTAATGTAGCTATAGTTTTGACCACAATAAATCAAACTCATAGAAGCAGTCCATTCACAATTTAAATTGTTACCATCTTAACTTTTGTCCTCTTAATATTTTCCTGAATAAAATCCCATAGACTATGTGCCATAATAGTCAGTCCATAAAAGCTACTAAACACAAAAATCCTAGTGTCCTCGAAACACCGAAGCAAAACTCCCTATCCCTTACCCACGTTAAATGTGACACCTCTAGGGTCAATATCAATTGGTAATTTCTGCTCCGGAATTTGTGGCAGCGGCAGAATCTTTACACACACCGTTATGCATGTAAGGCTGTATCTGTAAATGTGCTCATCCTCCTATGGAGAATTTTCCATTCGATAAAGAAATCTGAAAAATCCATCTTCACATGTTTTTATTTAATTCTTTTGCTTAGCATATATAACACGGTTTAGTGATCTATTGTTACCTAAACCACAACGTAATCACTTTGCCAC